ATCCATACGTCCAGGTGCCTCGCTGCGTCCTGCACTGGCATGTCTGGAGTGGAGCCAGTCCTGGGTGCTTTCCAGGCTGGGGACATTTAAAGGCTGGGGCCCTGGGTGGGCTTCCGCTGAGGCAGCCTTGGGCTGAATTCCCAGCTCCACGCACTGGCCTCAAGGTGGCTGCCCATCCATCATCTCACACAGTGCAGGTCTGTGCGCCACCAAGGGTTCAGAGTGGGCCTTGTCACCTCACCACCCCTTGCGGCCAGCTTCATCAGCAGCCATGAGTTTGAGGGGGACAGAGCACCCAGTAAGCAAGGGAAGCACTGATTCATGCTTACTCACCACGGTGAAGAGCCTCCCGTGGGTCTCACCACATCTAAGCCCATGTCAGCCTGTTCACTGGAGAGCTGTAAGCACACCTAACCCTGAGCTCGCGTTACTTACTGGACACCTGTCCCTGGATGACCCGCGAAGAGGAATCAGGATGGAGAAAGGGAGGCCAACAGTCTTGGGTTGACATGGGCTCTAGGAAGGTCTATGAACAGTACCTGACCCATGGGGGCACAGGGTAAATCTGAAGGCAACATTTGAGTTAAAAGCCCAGCTATCTCCTTGCAGACACTGCAGACTTAGGCCACTACGGAACCTCGGAAGGGCCAGTTTCCCCCGTGTGAAGAAGGAACACACCTCCGGTCACTCTGGCACTGTCATGACTTGTGTGTTATCATAATGCTAGAGGCTATGACATCAGATTGCAAATGCCTGCAGGGTCACTTAAGGTGGACAGGTTTCAGCAGACCTTCCAGACTAAGACTAGGAAGAAAGAACTGGTGATTAACTTCCATCAGCTGAGATGGACTGACATGGTGCTCAGAGAGTGTCCTAAGTTGGAGGGGACTCGAAACGCACAGCGGCTGGATGATGGACTTGAGTGTGCCGTGGTAACGATGGCAGGCATGGTGTTCCCCGTGCCGTATGGGGCTCACCGTGAGTCTGAATAGACTTGTTGTTATGTGCCATTGAGTCACCTGCGACTCATAGCGACCCTCTGTACAAGAGTCCTAAACCCTGCTCAATCCTGTGCCAACCTCACCATCTCTGACACACCTACCCCATGACCCCAGTCACTGAATCAATCCACCTCATAGAGGGCCTTCCTTTCCTGCGCTGTCCCTCCACCCTCCCAAGCATGACGTCATTCTCCAAGGACTGGTTCCTCCTTGCATCATGTCCAAAGTATGTGAGACGAAGCTTCAGAATCCTTGCCTCCAAGGAGCAGCCCTGTTTCACCCTCTCTAGGATGAATCTGTTTGTTTTCTTAGCAGTCCATGGTATATTCAATACTCTTTTCCAACACCACAGCTCAAAGGCATCATTTTTCCTTCTATCCTCCCTAGTCATTGTTTAGCTCTCTGATGCATAGCAAGTGATTGCAAGACCATGGCCTGTATCAGGCACACCTTACTCTCCAAAGTGACACCATTGCTCTCCAGTACCTTGGAGAGGTCTTTAACAGCTGATTTTACCATTGCAATATGTCTTTTAATTTCCTGGATACTGGTGCTAAGTGTTAACTGTGGAGCGAAGCAAACTAAAACTGTTAACAATCTCAATCTCTTTGTCATCCATAATGATGCTGCCAGTTGGCCCAGTGGTGAGAATCTTTGTTTTCTTGATATTGAGCTTCAATCCATATTGAAGGCTGCAGTCCTTGACCTTCTGCAGCAAGCGCCTCAGGTCCTCCTCAGTTTCAGCAAGCAGGATTGTGTCATCTGCATAATGCAGATTGTTGATGAAGGGGTTATGGCACTAGGGATATTGTAGCTGATGTTAGATGAATCTTGGCTGAAAGCAGGGAATACCAGAGGAAAGTCTATCTGTGTTTCATTGGTTATGCACAGGTGTTTGACTGTGTGGATCACAACACACTGTGGCTGACTCTGAGAAGAATGGGAATCCCAGAACCCTTGATTGTGCTAATCCGAAACCTATACTTTGACCAGGAGGCAGTTGTCAGAACAGAGCAAGGAAACACTGCATTGTTCAAAATTGGGAAGGGTATATGCCAGGGATGTGTCCTAACTCCATACCTTTTCAACCTGTATGCAGAACAGATTATCCGGGAGTCTGGGCTGTGTGAGGAGAAGTGTGGCATCAGGATTAGAGGAAGAATAGATCTGATGTAACAATAACAAAGGAAGAATAACAGACGGGCTTGGGAGACTTAAACCTGGTGAGTTACAGAGACCAGAACAAGGAGAGGCCTCCACGCAGGTATGCCCCTCCCGCAGGCGGCTGTGAGTTGCCTTGGCAATGATTTGACTCGCTGGTAGCCATTGAGTGCAGAGAGAAGCTGTGCCCCGCCGTGAAAGCTCATGTCTCTGGGAAGATCAGCAAAGACATCTTCCAAGGTTTCTTCAGATGGATCTAAACCACTGACCTTTACCTGATCAATCATCTGTGACACCCAGTGGATCCTCCCAGGTGGAGATGTCAAACTTTAACAATAGGAGAGGAAGGCCCCAGATGAGATGGATTGATATGGTCACCAGGGCAACGGGGGTAGGTGTGTCTGGCTGAGGACAGGGCAGGATTCAGAGCTTCTGTACATTGGGTCGCTATGGGTCTCAGGTGACATGACGGCACATAACAACAACAATTCGATCCAGAAGTAAGTAACTTCAAAACACTTAGATGAATACATGAGTAACTGAACCAATATACATTATAAAACATTCACACAAAAAAAATTTCTAAAGGAAATAAAAACATAAATACAAGTTCCCTCCCCCGTTGCTTCTTGTGTGCCCCTCTTCGGAGAAGCTCTGTCCCAGGGCTGGGAGGCTCTGAAGGGGCAGTGGTCCCTGGTGGTCAGGAGCGTGGGGCTGGCCGGTGATCCCAGGCGGAGACCTGGTCAGTTCTAAGGCTCAGTGGTGCTGGAGAAGCGGAATCTGCACACAGAGGTCGGAGCACCACGCGGCTCAGGGCGGGGAGAGTGCAGCCTGGTGGGAGACCTGAGAGAAGGCCCCAGGTGGGGAGACCTGGGGGCAGGGGAGCCCGGGCACGGAAAGCCGGGACAGAAAGACCGAGGGCGCGAGGCTCGGGAGTGAGGGGATTCGGGGCACGGAGAGTCACTCAAGCCTGAATCTGCTAACAGCTGAGACAGGTCCTCCACCAGATGCCACTTCTCCTTGACCTGCTGCAAGGGGTCAGGTGGTGAGTGACAACTGAGCCTGAGCCCACCCAGCAGGCAGAAAGCCCAGGTCAGCTCTAAGCCAGCTCCAGGCCAAAGCCTTGCCCTGCAGGGCCCATCCCAAGACAGACCACGCCCACAACCACGCCCCAGATAGAGACCACGCCCCCACAAACCCAGACACGCCCACACCTCAAACCCAAGGTCACACCCACACCTCCAGCCTGAGGCCACGTCCACACCCCAGCCCGAAGTCACACCCACACTTCCAAGGGGAGGCCACACCCACCACGAGGCCACACCCACATCACACCGGTCACGCCCACCACGTCCGCCCCCCCCCCCGCCACTCGGTCACGCCCACTCAACATCGCACATCCAACCGAGGCCACGCCCACATCACCCAAACCCGAGACCACACCCACCCCAAGCATAGGCCACGCCCACGCTGCCTGCCCCAGGCCACGCCCCACCAAAAGCCCTGCCCATCCTGCTCACCCACACCAGCTGCTTCCGGAGGCCCTGGATGGCCCTGGCATTGGCCTGCGACTGGGAGATGCACACGGTGAGGACCAAGCTTGGGGCAGATGGGGAAGAAAAGGTACTTATCAGACCACAGGTGTCCTTCCTGACCTCCGTCGACCCCTGAGTCTGCTCTTTGCATGCACTTGTCTGGAAAGGACCCTCTTTTCTTTCTCCCATGACCCTGAGTCTCCACAACAGGCCAGTAGGAGTGACTCCACAGCTGCGACTTGTGAGCTCGTTATGCCTCCTCGGGGTCCTGGGTCACTCACAACACCCAGAAGGTGGGCTCTCGGGGACTGCCCGGGGCACAGAAGGAACTTGGCTCCCTGGGACCCACCGCTCCTCCCCTGCGCCCTGGCAGGTACCTGAGCATGATGAGGAGGGGGAAGCTGAAGGCGTGGGAGCCAAGATAGTGGAGGGCACGCTGGCTGGCCAGTGGGAGGCGGAGGGCCACCAGCTCCGGGACCACCTGCCAAGGGGCTGAGTAGTTGGTGAAGAGGCCACAGTCCCAGGAGGAGTGGATGCTGTGGAGAGGCCAGAGGGGGCTTTTACCAACTCATCAGGCCCCCCTCTTCCCACCCACCATGCTCCCGGCCCCGCCCACCAGCTCGGTCCTGGGGCCTCCAGTTTCCCAGCCCGTTGGCCCCTCACCTGCTGACCACGTAGCCCAGAGGCACCACAGCCAGGAGCAGACCCAGGAGAAGGACCAGCTGGAAGAAGAAGGTGGAGCTGGAGGCCCGGAAGAGCCTCGGAGATGCCCTGGAGTTCCTCAGGAGAGTGTACTGCGGAGACCAGGAAGTTAGAAAGGGGGACACGTGTGCCCAGCTCGGTTGGACCTCTGCCAGGCTCCCTCCCAGGCACCGCTGCCTGGCCTCGAACGCTCACCTTCTTGATGTAGAAGGTGAGGAAGATGAAAACGCTGTTGAGCAAGGGCAGCAGTGGGCAGTAGAAGAGTCCCATCCAGGTGACCGTCTGGCCCGCCACAATGTCCAGCACGTTCTTGGGCACCAGGAACTCCTCTCGGCCCAGCCAGGTCCAGAACCGGCTGGAGAACCGCTCCACCAGCAACCTGGGGGTGGGAGGAAGTGTCCAGGTACCTATCGCCCACCAGGCATGCGTGGACCGTGTCCTGCTGGGCCATGGCCCACCGCACACTTCCTCGCATGACACATGCGTGAGCCACCAGACACCCCTAAACATGCCCACTTTCTACAAAGTGTTGCCGTGACTCACCTGCGAGGCAGGGTGACCAGGAAGGCGAAGGCCACGGTCAGGAGGAAGTTGAAGATGCTCAGCTTGTAGAATTCCTCCCCCACGGAGTTCTCCCAGCACTGGGGGGCAGAGGGCAGGCAGGGAGAGAGGCAGTCACCACCTGGGGGCCCAGCCTCCCCACCGAGGCCCTGCCAGAATCTGATGTGATTTCTAAGTCAAACAGGGTCCTGAGCATGGAGAGGTATGGGAGAAACCCCACGGCCAGGACAGCTGCAGGCACAGCACCTGGTGGCATGTGGACAGCGCCCCTCGGAGGAGCTGCTGTGTGTGGCGGCTTTTCCCCAGGTGCGGGGTGGACAGCAGGACAGGAGGGGGCATAGGGAGGGCCGGGCGTGGTTGAGGGGTAGGGACAGCAGCAGCCACCTGGTAGTCACAGGCGTTGTAGCCGAAGGACTCACAGCTGGTGGTGTTTCTGCCAAGGCAGAGCACTGTCTGGCCCAGCGAGATGGAGAACATGCTGAGGCTGGCCAGCTTTAGCACCACGCACCTGGACGGGGGAGGGGCCTAGGTAAGCCTGGAGAGATCCAAGCCTTTCCACCCTCCTCCAAAGCTCCCAAAATGTGTCCCTGGGGCCCCACTCCTACCCACTCTCTGTAGGATTTGTGGGCAAGGGGTTCATTCTGTTTTTAAATCAGTCGAGAAAAGTGAGGTGTCCTGTCACCCTCCCCCATCCACCTTGGAGACTCCCAGCATGCTTCACTGTGAAGAAAGGTCACACAGCCTTAGGAACCCTACCCAGCTGTTCTGCTCTGACAGCACTGTCAGGAGCTGGAATTGACTGGGTGGCAGTGAGTGACTAAAGCAACCATGGAGCAGGAGTCCCTGGGCGGTACACACGGTGAAGCACGGGGCTGTGTTGTTGGTCGGTGCCTTCCGATTAACTGTGACTCACAGCAGAGCTATGAACTCCACATGGCATCTTGCTCTACCTGTGCCACCTCACCCCATCAGGTTCGAGCCCCTTGGTGTGGTCACTGTTCCAGTCTGTCTTGTTGAGGGTCTCCCCTTCTCTCCCTGGCCCTCCACATTTCCCAGCATGTTATCTTTTTCAAAGGACTGGTCCCCCCTGACAATTTGCCCAAAGTGTGTGTGACAAAGTTTCAACATCATCTTTGCCTGTAAGGAACACCCTGGTTGCACTTTCTCCAGGACAGATTTATTTGATCTTTTGACGGTCCATGGGATATTTTGGTGGCCTGGCAGGAAGGGGAGGCGCTGCCAACCCATAGGCATGTGGTTCGAACTCACCAGCCCCCCCACAAGAGAAATATGCAGGCTCCTTTCCTATGACACACTGCCTCTGGAAATCCCAGGGAGGTCTGCTCTGGGTCTGTTCCCACTTGATGGTGCATAACAACAACAACAACAACAACATGGAATACTCAGTACTCGGCCAACACCACAGTTCGAAGACACCAAATTTTCCATTGTTCTTATTCACTGTCCAACTTTCAGATGCATAGAAGGCAACTGCAAAAACCATGGCTTGGATCAGGCACACTTTCGTCTTTAACATCCTTGCTCTTTCAGGCACTGGGCTACCAGCCAAAAAACTGGAAGTTCAAACCCACCTCACTGCACTGTAAAAGAAAGACCTGACCATTTGCTTCCAAGAGACGACAATCCTGAAACCCCTGGATCTAGTGTTGGTCCAAACAGAGCACATGAACTCTCCAAACCACACGCTGGCTTGTGAAGGCGTCGTGGATTGTTTTTGGGTCTTCCTCCAATTATTATATTTAGTTGTGTTATAGAGATCTTCCTTTTGCAACACCTTAAATAGATACCGTGTGGTTCCTTCCCCTCCAACAAGCAGTCAGAACCGCACAGAGTGGTTCTCCTTTGCACAGATGGGGTCGCCCTGAGTCGGGATCGACTTGAGGGCAACTAACAAGAGAAATGGTGAAGAAACATGCTAAGCTTTCAGAACTCTTCCTGGACACAAGATCTTCCGTTCCTCTCCCACCTGTTAACATCTGGCGTGCTTGCATTATCACCTGCATCACAACCGTATGCTCTGCACACTTGTGGTTGTGTTCCGTAGAGTCATAACCAAACCACAGCTGACCCACCAGTGGGTTTTCAGAGGCAGTGAACTGCATGGGAGTTGATTGCCCAACTAGTGCATGGAGCAGCTGGTGGATTTGAACTGTGTACCTTTGTGTTTGCTCGGCTCCACGGTCAACACTCTTAGCACCTAAGTAGCCAGGAAATAAAAAAATGTATTGCGATGGGAAAGTCTGCGGTTAGGGACCTCTCTAAAGTACTCAAGAGCAACGGTGTCTCTCTGGAGACTAAGGTACGCCTGATACAGGCCATGGTTTTTGCAATCACTTGTTATGCATCAGAGAGTTGGAAAATGACTAGGGAGGATAGAAGGAGAATTGACGCCTTTGAGCTGTGGTGCTGGAGAAGAGTATTGAATGTACCATGGACTGCCAAGAAAACAGAGTCATCCTAGAGAGGGTTAAACCAGGCTGCTCCTTGAAGGCAAGGATTCTGGGGCTTCGCCTGACATACTTTGGACATGTTGTAAGGAGAGACAGGTCTTTAGAGAGGGACATCATGCTGGGTAGAGTAGAGGGACAGCGCAGGAGGGGAAGACCTTCTATGAGGTGGATTGATTCAGTGACTGGGGTAATCAGGATGGGTGTGTCAGAGACAGTGCGACTGGCACAGGATAGAGCAGGGTTTAGGGTTGTTGTACATAGGGTCACTATGAGTCTCAGACGACTCGACGGCACATAACAACAACCACCACCTTTGTGTTGGTAATGTTACTCCTTACCACTAAGCCGCCAGAGCTCCTGCACACCTGGTGACTGTAACTCATAATAGGCATGATGGCTGTTGGGAACTGAGCTGTGCCCCTCCCCCTGTATGTCTGGTTGACTGGGCCATGGTTTGCATAGGTGGTAGTGTCACCTGGGGTCTTTAAGGCTGTGGTCACCAAGCCCTGCAGGCTGTAAGCAGTGAACTCTTCAGTCAGACATCAAGAGATTATTACCATTCAGCACCACTCAGGGGCTGCTCTTTGGAGGCAGGGATGGAAACCTGAGACCTGGGCTCCGCCCCTGAGGCTGTGTGTTCTAGAGGAGTCTGTCTGCTTTCCCTCTGGCCTGTCCCTCTGGTCAGGGAGATAAGTCCCTAGCTCAGGGACTCCGGTCCCAGACAATAATGGACCCAGAGCTGTGGGCATGCATATCCTCATCACACACCTCCTGCCTTCCTCTACTCGCCGTCCACTAGTCATCTCCCCAGGGTGGCACTTACCAGATCAGGATGAGGTTGACCTCGGTGTTCGGAGGGTAGTTCTCCAGCTGGACCAGGAAGACAAACAGCAGGGGGCCCAGAAAGTTGACCACAGCGATGACCCCAGGGGGCAGATACTGGAGCAGCAGGAACAGAGATTCCTGTGGGAACGTGCAGGCACGGAATGTGAGAGTGAGTGGGGGGTGTGTGTGCATGTGGGAGTGCCTGAGTGTGAGTGTGGCTGTGTGTGTGCACGCGTGTGTGGTTGGGGTGAGTGTGGTTCTGTGAATGTGCAACAGTGTGTGTGTGATGCCGGTGTGTGTGTGCATGTGTGAGTGCACGCGTGTGTGGTTGGGGTGAGTGTGGTTGTGTGAATGTGCAACTGTGTGTGTGATGCCGTTGTGTGTGTGCATGTCTGAGTGTGGGAGTGTGTGCACACATGTGTGGTTGGGGTGAGTGTGGTTGTGTAAATGTGCAGCAGTGTGTGCGTGTGATGTGGTGTGTGTGCCCAAGTGCGAGCATGTGGTTAGGCATGTGAGTGAAAGTGTGTGTGAGAGCATGTGAGTGTGAGCATGAGGGGTGATGACCTGCTGGACATGACTGTGAGGGTGATGGTGTTTGTGATTATAGTGTGCATGAGTGAGTGAATGTGACGGCATGTGACTACGTGAGTGTGATCATGGATATGGGTGCCTGAGTGTGCGACCATGGCTATGGCTTGTGAATATGTGTGAGGTGAGTGTGTGCTCCAGGGACATGAGTGCATATATGTGGGAGTGTGATATGGATGCGTGTGTGATTGTGTATGTTAGTGCAGATGAGTGTGTAACTATGAACATGAGTGTGTGATCGTGTGTATGATTGTGGATAAGTGTGTACCAGTGTCCATGAGTGTGGATGAGTGAGTGTGGGCGTGCACGGCTGTGAGTGTGTGTGAACGTGACTGAGGGACGCGGCTGCTCTCAGCTCTGCTTCCCACAGTCTCGGGCCAGGTCTGGGTCCTGCAGGCCAGGGGAATGGTCGGAAGGACAGTGAAGAAGCAGCATGGCCAGTGGGATCTGCCCGTGACCTTGGCCGACTGCCTTAACCTTGGCTCTGTCATGGGGAGTGGTGAACGCACCTCCTTGTTGTCCTGCGAGTACTTGGTGGCCCAGAAGATGGCGCTGATGGCCCCGGCCACGAGGAGACCAATGAGAAGGTTGACCCGAAGGTAGGTGAGCAGGTGGTAGGCCCTCTGGGCGCGGGTCTGCTGCTGTACCTGCTGGAAGCGACGCTCCTCCTCCAGCTCCACCTGTCGTGGGCAAGCGGGGAGTGAGGTGTGGGCTGGGCGAGGCGCTGCTAGACAGACCTGGCCCAGGACCCTGCGGGGGGGGGACCCGCTCTGGGGCTGGGCAGGGACACTGTCTACACTCTTCTCCTGATACCTGTGCAGGTGAGTGAGCACCTCCAGGTCCTGCCAGAAAAACCTGTGCACACTCACAGGCCACACCCTGTGGGCTTGCACCCTCACGCCACTCAGGCACCCCGACACATACCCACCCACCCTCACAGCCATGCACACTCATCGTTCACGCTCACACTCACGTGTGCACACTCAGACAAAACTCACTCATTCACAGGCTCTCACCCACCCGCTCACACTCAGCCCCACTCACACACATCCCCTCACATGCACACACGCATGTGCTCACATGCGCCCATTCACGTAGACACACTCCCTCACTGATTAGCTGTCACACTCACAGCAGCTCACACACTCGCTCACCCGCACCTCACCTTCCTCATGCTCACACGCACGTGCTCGCCCACCTGCTCACACTCATGCAGACATGCTCACACCCTCACACAGACACGCCCCCCCCTTGCTGGCTCACACCCCATTTGTGCTCACACTCATGCAGACATGCTCACACCCGCTCACCTTGAACTCATTGCTAATCTCTTGCTTCTTGATAGTGGCGGCTTCCTGCACACGGATGCAGAAGTCCCAGGAGGAGAAGATTTTGGCGCTAAGCGGGGTGCTGTGGTCCCGGCCCAGGAACGGCTTCTGCGGCAGCCCCTTCACCATCCTGCAGGGAGCAGAGGCTGTGGCCCAGTGGAGAGGGCGCCCACCTCCAGCCTCAGCCTTGGTTCTGCTCTGAGGTGGGGTGGGCCCTCAGAGCCCCAGGTGCAGTGTTGACCTTGGCCTGGGTGGGCTTAAGGGAACACAGACAGTGAGGTCTGCAGGCGGGGACACCGGCTCCAGAGCTTCTGATGAACACCCAGGGAGTGCCATGTCAAGGAGGGGTGGCGGGGAACCCCGCCCTCTCTCACCGCTGCAGTGTCCCACAGAAGCAGAGGAGCAGGCAGGCCAGGGGGCTGAGGAGGTAGGCCAGGCGGATGCTGTATGTAGAGCTGCTCTCGGGCTCCGCCCGGTACGCACCATAAAAAAGATAGGTGCTGTTGAAGGCCTGGGGACATCAGGGGTGACAACTGGGCACGAGCCACGTGCAGACTCTGTGTCCACTCACTTGCAGCAAGAGCATCCCCCTTTCACAGAGGCTCAGAGAGGGCAGGCAATATGCCCAATGTCACACAGCCTTAAGGAATAGTCAAGACTCAAACCTGGGACCTCATAATGGCAAGCGCTGCGTGGCTCACCCCAGAGGCCTGGTGCTTTCTTCCTCTTGTTCTCTGTCCCCGCCACCCCTAGCTGAGAGACACCAGACATGTGGAGTGGGTCACGCAGCATGGGCTCCTATCTGGCCCTCTCCCTGGCCTGTCCTTGTCCCTCTGGAGGCCCCGCTGTCCGGGATGTGAACTCCCTTGGTCCCTTTCTTGTGCTATCTCTATCTAGTTGTGATTTGGGTGAATGTTTACAGAGAAAATGTCTTTCCATTCAGCAGTTTGTACATTTGTTTTGTAACATAGTTGCAATCCCCAGGATGTATCAGCATCTTCCACTTCCTCCTGGGTCCCCGGTCCTGTGTCCATCTTTTCCGCCCCTTCCTGCCTTCTGAGCTTCATCGGGGGCAGACGCTGCCCCCCCATGCTTGGCTATTCACTTTCTACCTCTGTCAGTGCATGGTGGTTTCAGGGAGGTGGTTCCAGATGTCAAGGGGGTCTGAGGACCACAGCGGCTCCACAGTGTCATCAGAACAGTAAGCTTCGTGTGTTTTATAACTGAGTTTGGGCCTACATTTTTTGAGGGCTCCTCTGAGGCCAGTTCCCAGGTTGCTTGGACCTTGGGGTCATGGCTAGGAGTGTTCCCACTCACCCTGCCGGTTAAGACATTCCAGAATTGATTGTGAAACTTCTGAAGGCCCAACTGGGGCTGGGAGCTTCCGGGGCACTGGAGGGCTGGGAGAAGGAGAGGGGCCGTCAGGAGGGCTTACCGGGGCTTAGACAAGGCTCTGCCCCCACCAACCCCATAACTCTCAGCCGCAGGGAGCCTGAGCAGGGATCTCAGGCTGTGTGAGGAGGTGCCCTGTGGACAGGAAGGCTTGGGGAGCCCTGGGGCTGGGCAGGGTCCAGGCTGTCTCAGCTCTGAGCCTTGGACCAGGCAATGGTGCTGATGGTCTCCAGGGACCTCCCCTTCATGTGGGCACCTGGGGGGGCTCACAGGACCCAGGACTCACTCAGGTTCAGGGCGGGCGCTGGGTCAGGGGCACGGAGCCAGACCAGAGGCAGCAGCACGAAGCTGGTGGTCAGCACGACGGCCAGCAGGTTGAGCAGCAGCAGGAAGCGCAGGAAGGTGAAGTAGGACTGGACTCCGGTGCCGAAGAGGCCTGTGGGAGAAGAGCCGGATAGCCGGGGAGGCTCAGACCCAGGGCGGCCTGACCACCCCTCGTGATGGGCAGTGACCTTCGCGGGCAGCCTCTCAAGCAGTACTGCTGATAGCCACCAGGGGCCGCTGCCACCCACTCAGGTTTGGCGCCTGGAGTGACCTGGGGGGAGTGGGGCATGGGACAGACGGGCTGGGAGCTGGAGGTGGAGACTTCAGACAGGGCACTTGGGCATCGGGGAGCAGACCTACCCCCGATCTCGTAGAGAGCCCCCTCCCAGAGTCCGAAGCCACTGGCCAGGCGCTTGGCGGTTTCCCGGAGGCGCCTTCCCGTAGCCTGTCGACGCTGCTGCCACCGCTCCCCCAACGAAGGCTGGGCCCCCTCGGGCTCCCGAAGCAGCCTGCAACAGAGGTGGGGATGTGGTGGCCTGATTTACACACCCTCCGTGCTGGCAGAGCAGAGCCCTGGGCTGGGGTCTCTCCAGGCCTCCTCTATGCGTCCTGGGGGCATCCCACGCTTCGCCCTGCAGGGCAGCACCCACCGGATGAGACGCTTGTCGACCATGGCGTAGGGCAGCGTGCGCACGGGCGCCCTGGAAGCACACAGCCTCTCCATCTCCTGCTCCCACAGCTCCTCTGGCCCCGGCTCCCCCAGTTTCCCCTCTCCAAGGGGCTGCCCGGAGGCCTCCGCCTGCAGCTGCTGCATCTCTGCCTGTGGTCCACGGCGCTGGGGGATGGGGGGCCAGCTAGGTGAACGTTAAGGTCTTGACCCTGGCAGGATCAGAAATGAAGAGGGAGAAGCCAGCTGGGTCCTGCTCCACTCACAAAGTGTCTAGAAGCGCCTCGGTTTCCCCATCTATGAAATGGGGAGAAAAGTCCAAGACACAGGGAAAGCCAGGGCCAGGCGTGGTCGTGGGTAAGTGAGGCGCCCGCAGGGCCTGTTCGCCTCATCCTCAGCCCCTGGGGCCCCAGGTCACCCTTAGGTCACCCCACGGATTCTCCCTCAAGAGCGCAGCTCTATCCGCAGATTCACAGTGGTCAGCCAAGAATACCCTGACTCCCCTGATCCAAAATCTAGGGTCAGCCCTGGGTCCCCATGAAGGGCTGTCGCTGCAACACCAGTGGTGAGAGGGGTGGAGGGACCCCTCCCCGAAGTCCCCCCATCTCGGCTCCCTCTTCAGTTCCTCCCCACTTTTGCCACCAGTTCTGTACCCAGCTCACCTGGGTGCCGAAGGGGTCCAGTCCCTGGAGGAGCCCCCTCCTCAGATGCGTTCCCGCCAGGCAGGTCGGGGGGAGTAAGCAGGAGGAGGGGGAGACGTCACATGACAGGAACCCCGGTTCCCCTTCAGTTTCCTCCACCCGAAACGGAGGCCCGGAGGCACTTCCTGCGGCTTTCGGGGCGCCGAGGGCAGGTGAGATGCAGCCCCAGTGGCGGAGGACACAGGAGGGTCAGGCGGGCAGCGGGCAGCGTTGGATGCGCCCCGGGGGCCCCGCAGGAAGGCGCGCCCTCGGGCAGCCTGGCAGCGCGCCCCAGTCCGAGCCTTGGCGGGGGCTGCGCCTGCAGGCTGCGGGGCTGCGCAGGGCGGGCCCCTCGGTCCGCCCCCTTCCGGCCGGGAGCCCAGATCTGAGCGAGTGGTCTGCAGGGAGAGGGGGGGCGGACCCCGGAGAGAGGCTGTCGGGGCAAAAACCAGATGGGGCCTCAACGGGCAGGGCTGCACACAGCGGGCGTGCGGAGCCTCCTTATCTGTGCGCTGCAAGTGGCCCAGTGCGAGTGGCCCCGGTGATAATGGGGGCGGGGCGGTCCCTCGGAACTCTGCCACTCGGGGCCTTTGCTCCCTGCTGGACCGTAACCTTGGTCGGTTTCCTACCCGTGTACCCAGGCCCAGGCCCGCCTTTCCTACGTCTCCCCGTCCCCTCCAAGGCCATCAGCTCAGGTCTTGTGGCTTCCCCTGCTCTGTCCGACTCTGGGTTCCCGAGCTCCAGCCCCACTGTGGTCTCAGATAGTGGTGGTGAGGGGTGAGGACCAGCAAGGTGCAAACAGGATTCCACAGCTGACGGCGTGGAGTAATCCAGGAGGCCTGGTTGGAGGAGGTGCCCCTCAAGTAGGGCCCCGGGTTCATGCAAGTTCAAAGCTGGGTGTGAAAAGAAAGAGAAGTAGTGGGTGGAGAGCAGGGTGGGTGGGCACAGCCTGAGCTCTGCGGACCCCACCCCGCCGCCTTCTGCACCCCGCCCTCAGGGCCCCTGTCCAGGGTCGCCCCCCAGCACGTGCTCATGCTGTCTGCCCTTTGCGAGCATCCGGGAGAAGCTCACTGCTTCTCACAGCTTCTCCCCAGCAGGACTGCCTCCTCCCCTGGACCCCTGGGGGCTTCTCGGGCACATCCCCAGTCAGGACAGCGCCAGAGTCACGGTGGGCCCTGGCTGGGAGCTCAGTAACGCCCTCAGGCTCTGCTTCCCCAGCTGTGAAATGAGGGGGGATGCAGGCCCACCTCCCTCAGCGCGGGGAGACCGGCCCCTCTCTCCATCTCTCCCAGCCTTGCACACAGGAAGTGTGCAGAGCGGGCGAGGTAAACAGCAGAAACCACGCCCGTTACGGGAAGGGGAAATAACCCCATTACCGCCAGCCCGTGGGGGTGGGGCCATGTTGCGCCCCGGGGCCCCCCCCCCGAGAGGAGGGGTGACCCTTCCTGCTCTGTACCTCTGAGTTTTTAGCACCATCCACTTAAACAACTACTCTAGGAAATTTATGGGTCTGGTATTATTGTCCCTCTTTGAAACATGCGGATATAGAACCTTTTAAAAGTGAGAGACCCCCTCCCGGGGGGGGGGGGGGGGGGGGGGGAAAAAAGGGGGGCCCCGGGGCGGGGGGGGGGGGGGGGGGGGGGAGGCTGAGAATAGAGCTGACACCTGGGCATGCGGCAAGGGAAGCGGAGATGCCTAGACAACGGGTGTCCGCAGGCGCCGGAGGTGGGGACCAATCACGTGACTGCCCTGCCCGCCACCACGTGGGCATGAACCCGGACTCTCGTTCCCGCCCCCCCCAGGCCCCAAGGTCCGGCCCAACCTCAGGACCCGCCTCCAGGCGGCGCCCTCGGAGACAGGTGAGCTGCTCCCAGGTGAGTGGCCAGGGGAGGGGTACCGAGATCTGCCGGGATCCCAGTCTCGGGGTTTGGGGGACAGCCCGCCGTCTGCTCTCCCGGCCCCACCGCGTCCCCTCCCTCCGGGTGGCCTTCCTCCACCCAGCTCTGCCTCCTGGCGGCTCTGAGCTCGCTCGGTTCCTGGATCTCACCCCACCCAGGCTGCCGGGCAACTTTCGACCCTGAGGGAGACCGGGTCACACTGGCCGCTGGGGGACTGGTGAGGGGGTGCAGAGGCCCCCGGAATTGGCTGTCTCCAGGGCGGGGCTGGGCCCCTCTCGGCCGGCTGGGGTGACGTCCTGGGAAAGGCCTTCCTTGGACCTCCCCACCTGGCTAAGGGCTCAGGATGGTGAGTGTGTGGCCCAGCGCCCGCCCCGTGTTGGCCCTGGATGTCCCCTCATTTGAAAGCCCGGAGCTCTCCCTGCCAGGCTCCCCGCTGCAACTTCTTCCCCAGCCCGCTTGCAGAAGGGTGTGTTTGGGGCCCCGCACCCCAGTCTGAACTTGGTGAGGGTGTCACAGGGAGCCTTAGCCAGGGTAACCCCGCCTGGCTCCCGCTTTCCTGCTGCCCCCTGCCCTCTGCTGCCCGGAAGAGAGGGGGCGGGGTCTGTGCTCAGGAGCCTCCCTCCAGGGGACGCTGTCCGGCTGGTGGGTGTCTGAACCTTAGTCCCGCCCAGCAGGCTCCCTTGGTGAGGGTGGGGAGGACCCAGGAGAGGGTCAGCCCAGGGCTGGGTCATCTCGGGGGTAGGTTGCGGTGGGGACTTTCTTTGTTATCTGCCTTGCAACTACTGTTGGGTGAACGGACCAGGGTGGATCAGGGTTGGCGTCAGAGACAAGGCCCTGCTGGTTCCCATTGTGCCCCGTGGTGACCGGCTGGGACAAAGGAGGCCTGTTCACTGTCCTCCCCTCCTTCAGTCCACGTGACAGAATGTGGGGTGTGACCTCCTGGGAACAGAGTGCCTTTGCCCTGGCAAAGGTGGGCGTGGGGACTGGCCGTTCTGAGCCTTGTGTGTGTACGTGAAGGGAGGGTCTGAGCTGGTGGGCCAGCAGGAGTGGCCACTCTTGAGTCTGGTGTCAGTGGCGACTGGAAGGTGAAGTGCACTCGGGTTACAGGACGCGGATGGCCCCAGTCCACCCTAGCCCTTCTGCCCTTTCTCATTAAGAAGGTGATGTCTGGACCCCAGCAGCGTCCTAGGAGCCACAGACGCCCTTCCCCTTTTCCCAGGGATTGGCAACATTGAGGAAACAGATGGGACGCTGCTGGACCCCACACCCTTCCTTCCGGTCCTCCATCCTCCTGGAAGGGAGGGGCTCCCCCTGGTCAGCAGAGCTTTCTGACTTGACCTTTGGCAGTGGATGAGGGTGGCGCTGTTTCCCTGGTCCCTGAGGGAGAGGGTGCAGTGCTCTGGATTGTGGGAGGGTCAGCATCAGTGAGGGTGCTCACTCTCCCCTCAGATGGGCAGCAGGAGCTGAGCCCAGGGCTGGTGTAGGGTATAGCCAATGGCCTTCGTCCTCAATGTCCCCGAGACCCCAGGGGACTGGGGGTAAGTGCTGCAGGGCTGAGTGCCTGCTGTCCCCTTCCCCACTGTCCACTGGACAGGTCACATCCAGGGAGGCTGTGGGGGGCAGGGCTGGTCCCCCCTTAAACCCTGTCCCTGCCCCACACAGCAGCCAGGAGCCCAGCCCCTACGATGAGGACGAGGTCCACAACTCCTTCCATCAGCTCATCCAGGAGCAGAGCCAATGGGTGGAGGCCTCGGGGCCTGAGGAGGGGCTGGAGCTGCCTGCATGGGAGCCGAGAAGTGGAGCCGCAGAGACCCCAGGGGCCCCAGGTAGGTCTGCCCCCTAGATCATGTCCTCCCAGGAGGCTGCCAGCCTCGGGATGAAGGTGCCATGGCTGAGCCCCCAGGACTCTGGTAAATCCTTGCTGTTGTAGACAGAGACCACCAGGCCATCCTGGAGCCTGGGGGCGGCCCTTCGTACAGCGCAGCCACCCTCCGAGTCCTGGCCAGCATGCCCAGCCGTACGATTGGTGAGTGGACCGGCGTGCATGTACCACCAAGTGCCACCAGTGCCCATGAGCTCAGCCACCCCTCCCCACTCCGAGTTCTAAAATAGACTCCAGTAAAAATAGGCTCCTGGGAACTTGGCGGCCGAGGGTGAGGAAACCTGGTCCCAGGGAGGAGCGTGGGCCAGCCCCTTCTGTGATACAATGGGGGTCCGGGGGGGAACTGGTGGGGAGGCCCGCTGACCCTTGCCTCTGCAGGCCGCAGCCGTGGGGCTATCATCTCTCAGTACTACAACCGCACTGTACGGCTTCGTCGCCGGGGCCACCGGCCCCCGCTCCACGGTGCCAGGCCCAGCCTGCATGGCCGCGACCTGGAGCTGGACCCCGACATCCATCAGGAGGAGGGTGAGTGCAGGCAGGACCAGCAGGACGGCCCCGGCTGGACACTCCGTGCCACTGTTCTTTCTATAATGGCTCCAGGGCAGAGAGAGGGGCCTTCCAGACTACAGCCCCCCTCCCCACTGTCAGCACTCAGTCACATTAAGCTCATTTGCTCCCCAAAATGCAAAAAGTTGCCAACTTATTATGGGGTTCCATTCTGGCTATAACCACACCATCTCATCAAGTCTGACATCTGGTGGGTGACCTTCTGCTGCTTTCCGGGGCCATAGATTCCAGGGAGGGCGCGCTGTGGCCGGCACGTAGGGGGCTGTGCAGCCGACCCCAAGGTGGTGCCTCTCCTGTGGTTTAAATGTACCGGCAGCACCAGGGGAGAGAGATGTACAACGTCTCCTCACATGATTTGCCATGGCTAGAGGGTTACAGGAGGCCACAGAATGAGGGCTCGCATTACCGACCCCATGTGGATCGTGGCTGAAAGCAGAGAATGCCAGAAAAGTGTTTACATATATTATATTGACTACGTAAAGGCATTTGGCTGTGTGGATCATAATAAATTATGGATGACACTGAGAATCCCAGAACACTTAATTGTACTTGTTTTAAACCTCGACCAGGAAGCTTTTGTCCAAACAGAGCAGAGGAACTCTGCGTGGTCGGTTTAAAGAGGAAAAGTGTGGGTCAGGGCTGTGTGCTTTCTCCTTACCTATTCAATCTGTATACAGAACAAATCATTTGAGAAATTGGACTATAGAAAGAAGAATGTAGCACTGCAATCTCAGAGGTGCGCAGTTCGAATCCACCAGATGCTCTGCTGGAGAAGGAGGGGCAATCTCCTTCTGTACCAGTCAGATCTGATTTGACGGTACACACCCACAAAATAATAAAATAAAATAAAATAAAATAAAAAAAAAGAATGTGGTATCAGGATAGATGCAGCTTGTATTAATGACGCAACTTTGCTTTCCGGAAGTGAAGAGGATTTTAAATACCTGCTGCAGAATATCAAAGACAGCCTCTCATATGGATTACATCTCAACATCAAGAAAACAAAAAATCTCACCACTCGGCCTCCATCAGCATCGAAGATTGAAGTTGTCAATGACTTTATCTTACTTGGATCCACAATCAATACTATTGATACCAGCAGTCAGGAAGTCGAAAGGCATGTTGCATTAGGGAGCTCTACTATCAAGGACCTCTCCTAAGAGCTTAAGAGCAAAGATGTCAGTTTAAAGACTAAGGTGTGTCTGATCTAAGCCATGTCCTTTTCAGCTGCTTTCTTAGAAGCTAGACGATGCAGCTTGCATCAAGTGCAGCTCCAGGGTGGCTAAGTTTGGTTTGAAACAGATTCAGAATCCCAAGGCAGCACGCGCGCGCGCACACACACACACACACACACACACACACCCACTTTTGCTGTGTCTCTGAGCTGCATGATAATCAGACGGCTAAATGGAGTCTGAATAGTTGGAGATTATATATAGTTGAATAAGGATGATCGAAGAATCGATACCTTTGACTTGTTTTGGAGAAAAGTACTGAATATCCCATGGACTGCTGGAAGAAGAAACATCTGTCTTGGAAAAGTACAGCCTTGCTGTTGCTAAGAGGGATAACAGTGAAACTTGGTCTCATCCAGTGGGCAAGCTGTCAGGAGAGGCACGTCCTGGGAAATGGACGTCATGCTGGGAAAGGTGATGGTCAGAGAGAGGAAGACCTTCAAGCGGATGGAGTGGCATCATGACCGGAGCCGCGGGTTTGAGTCTGCTGATGGCCACAACGGCAGGGCCGGGCTCACATCAGCCCTAGTTGGCAAGCTGGCCCCTACGAACAACACCAACCCCAGGGTCAGCTCTGAGTGGGTTTCCACTTGATCTAACGCGATGGCGATGAAGTGTTCTTTTTTTTTTAGTTTGAAAATGTCATGGTGTCTGGTGTTTTTTTTAGTTTGAAAATGTCATGGTGTCTGGTGGATTTGAACCACCAGAATTTTGTTATTAGCCTATGCCGTATGCCACCAGGGCCCCTTGTTCTGATAACTCTGTCCTAAATGAGTTCTTGCATAAGTTATGCACCTCTTGTGTTTTTCACTTTTAATTATTACTGTCATTTTTATGAAGTTGACTTCTGACCATCCATGTCTTGTTCTCTAGTGCTCCTAGAAGGTGGATATCACAAGAGGATGGCTTTAATAAACAGAACTTTATTATCTCACTGTTTTGGAAGCTAGAAATCCAAATTCATGGTGCCAGCTCAGGGGGATGGCTCTCTGTCAGTCCTGGAGGAAGGGCCTTGTCTCCAGAATCTCTTGGCCCGGAGTTCCTTGGAGGTCTCATGTGCCCTGCCCGGCCCCAGTGCTGAGTCTCATCCTTGTGCAGGGATCTGGGTCCAGACAGACTTACTCTACTCTGGGTGGTTGCTTCCTGGTGGTACTGAGGTCCCACACTCAGCTTTTATTGCTGTTGTTGATAGCCTCTGAGTAGCGATCCTATGACCAAAAGTCCTGAAGCCCCTCTACAGCTATGGATATTCATCAAAGTTCATAGAGTTTCTGGTGGCATGTTGTTTAGGAAGTGGATTTCTTATAAAATAAAAGGGGTTACTGGCTACACCCCTGGGAAAGTCCCCTTACATATGATTAGGTCTGTGATGAGATCAGGGGTGCTGCATTCCACCCTTCATCTTTTTATAACTATATAGTTCCTACATTGCATTATGGGTGGTTTTGGCAACACCTTTCAATCCAGGGTTTTGTGCAAGTGAACATGTGAGAGATGACACTACATCACCAAGTTACTCACTGCAACATTGTATCTAGTGGCAACAAAGGGGCCTGGTAGCAAAACTGCAGGATGTTACACTACTAATCCAAAATTGTGTGTCTTGCACAGCCCCAAACCACTGTTGTTCAGGCCAGGGAAAAAGATGGATAATCTCTTCCTGTGTGGTTTACAGCTTTGGAAACTAACTGGCAGGTCAGCTGTGAGTCAATTCTGACTCCATAGCAGAGACTTGTGGGTTTTGGTGGGGTTTTTTGTTTGTTTTTAGTTCAAAACCACCAGCTGCTCTGCAGGAGAACCATGGGCAGTCTCCTCCAGTGGGATTAAGTGCCTCTGAAAACCTGCTGGAGGGTCAGCTGTGGGCCGGTTCCCACTTGAGGGTACACAACAACATCAACACTGAGGGGTATCAAATGCACAGATCAGACAGCTGGGTGGGACTTGAATCTGTCCTACACTGGAAAGCACCTGTATGACCAGGCTTTGAGCACGGGCCAGGCTGAGCCAGGGCAGAGAAAGATTGGGCTTCAGAGAGGAGCCCGCGTTGTGAGGAGGAGAAGTGGGCAGACTGGCCTTCCAGGGCTGGGGCCCTAGGCTGTCCTGCTGCGGACTGACCCAGCACCCTCATTTCTGCAGAGAAGCGGAGCCTCCTCGTCCAAGAGCTCCAGGGCCTGTCGGGGACCCAGCAGGATCACATGCTCCGAGGAATGCCGCTGAGCCTGGCAGAGAAGCGTGGTCTTCGGTCAGTCCCCCCTCTTTCTGTGCATGTGGACCACAATGTCAGGGTGGAGGTGTGGGGGTACGGGTCTGAGTTGGTGGTGGGTGGTTCCAGGGAGGACTGGGCCTCACTTTGTCCAGGCTGATGGTTGCTTCTGCCCCCAGAGAGGAAAGCCAGACCCCAGTGGGGAAGCGGAGGGGCCAGCAGGGTCCACGTGGGGTGTGTTCCTGCTGCAACCGTCTCAAGTATAGCTGTGTCCTGGTAGGAACCTCGGGTTCTGGGCTAAGTGGCTTTGTGTAGGGTGGGACAAGGCAGATCCAGGCCAGTCGTGGGGTCTTCAGCATCCATGAATCCTTCACTGCTACTTCTCTTTCTCTCCATGGGCCCCCATCCAGGGTCTCCCTTTGACCGGGTCCTCACCCAGGGCCTCCCCAGCCTGGAGTCACAGTGCCTGGGTCCCTCCATTGGCTCTTACAGCCTGGCCCTGGCCCTGCCCCTGGTACTCTCTTGGGCATCCAGGGAACCTTCCCATCCAGCTCTCTTCCCACAGGCCTTGCACAGCATGGGGCTGGTGCTGCTCTCAGGCCTGAACTCCCTCACACCCTGGCACTATGCCCTGAAGCGGATCGGCGGCCAGTTCGGGTCCAGTGTACTCTCCTACTTCCTCTTCCTCAAGACCCTGTTGGCCTTCAATGCCCTCCTGCTGTTGCCCCTGCTGGCCTTCATCGTGGGCGTGCAGGCTGCCTTTCCGCCCACCCCGCTGCACCCTGCCCCCACCTTCACAGGCCTGGAGCTCCTCACGGGCGGGGTGAGTGCCCCCCACACCCTAGCAGGTTCCCACACATGCAGCAGCCAGGACCCTGCTGCCTCTCTGCCTCCTGCCCTGCAGGGTCCCAGTGCCACCTCACCCTCTGCTGGGAGACCTTTGTCTCTCTGGTCTCTTCATTGCCCTTTTATGGCCCTTTCTCTCTTTGGCCTTTCTCACTGCCCCCCCAAGTGGAAGGCCTCCCCTTCCTCTCATGGCCTGAGGGTGGGTTGGGGCAGGGTGGGAGGTAGGGGAGTAGGAGGGGTCCTTGACTGGGCTGGCCTCCTCTCTACAGGGTTATTTCACCCACACCGTCATGTACTATGGCTACTACAGCAACATCACGCTGAACCAGCCGTGCGCCCCACCGCTAGAGGGCAGTCAGTGTACTCCGGGGGCCAGGGGCCTGCCCTACAACATGCCCCTGGCCTACCTCTTCACTATGGGCACGGCCTTCTTTATCACCTGCATCACCCTCGTTTACAGGTAACAGCGCTTTGTCACATGAACTCCATCCATCCATCCATCCATCATCCACCATCCATCATCATCCACTCATCCATCCATCCATCATCCATCATCCATCATCCATCATCCATCCATCCATCCATCCATCCATCCATCCATCCATCCATCCATCATCCATCCATCCATCCATCCATCATCCATCCATCCATCCATCATCCATCCATCCATCCATCCATCCATCCATCATCCATCCATCCATCCATCCATCATCCATCCATCATCCATCCATCATCCATCCATCCATCCATCCATCATCCACTCATCCATCCATCCATCATCCATCCATCCATCATCCATCATCCATCCATCCATCATCCATCCATCCATCCATCCATCCATCATCCATCCATCCATCCATCCATCCATCATCCATCCATCATCCATCCATCCATCCATCCATCATCCACTCATCCATCCATCCATCCATCATCCACTCATCCATCCATCCATCCATCCATCATCCATCATCCATCCATCATCCATCCATCCATCCATCCATCATCCATCCATCATCCATCCTTGCCCCTCCCTCCTTTACCCATTCATCAAAACATCTGTCCATTTGTTCATCTTTCTATTCATCCATCTCTCAACTTTCTCATTATCACCCATCCATTAATCCATCCATCTGTCCATTTCCCCAATCCATTCATCCATCTAGGGAGCTCTGGTGATCTAGTGGTAAGAAGTGGTGCTGCCATCCCAAAGGCAGGTGGTTCAAATCCACCTGCCTCTCTCTCTGGGAGAAAGATGAACAATTTCCTTCTGTGCAATTAAACTGCTTCTGAAAAACTAATAGGGTCAGTTATGAGTCCGTTCTGACTCCCTGGTACACAACAACATTCATCCATTCGTCTACCCATCCGTCCATCAGCCACTCACTGACCCATGTACCTGTTCATCCATCCATCTGTTTATCCATCCATCTCTTTTTCTGAACACTCCTTTCTCTATCTGCTGATCCCTCCACTTCCTTATCCATCACCTGTCAATTGGCTCATTCATTTACCTCCACCCACTGTCCATCGGTATACACAGACTCATTAGTTGATTGATTCATCAGTCCTTTCATCACCCTGTCCATCCATCTCCTTGTCCATCTCCACCCTTCATCTGTGTATTCATTTGTCCATCTATGCATCCATTAATCTACTTGTTGATGCATCTACCCATCCATCCATTCATCAACTGACAGACCCACTCATCCATGCACATCGATCCACTCACTCATGTGCACCCACCGTCCCACGGACGTTCCCTGTGCTCAGAGCAGGGAGGTAAATGTGTGTGGTCCCTGCCCTACAGACGCTGTCCAGGAGAAAAGACAGACCAATGGCGACATGAGCCTCTAAGAGCCCAGGGGCATTGCTGTTGGGTGTTATGAGAACACAGCAGAGGGGCCAGAGCAGATTTCCCAGGAAGTGGCAATAGCCCTGAGACAGGGAGGTTAAATGAGAGTTTTGAGCAATGGGAGGGACAGTGCAAAGGCCCTGTGGTGAGTCCATGGTGATGAATCTGCGAGTTGTTCTGGTCCCATAAGACTGCAGAGAGTCCCATACCAGACAGGGCAGGTCTAGCACTGTCCACAGCACTGTCCTGCCTGCCCTGGGCTGGAGGTGGGCGAAGGTGCCAAGGGACTCCCTGGGTGGAAGGTAGGGCTTGGTGCAGGGACTGCCTGTGGGCCTTCTCCCTGAGCTGTGCCTCCTGGCCCCATACTGACTCCTCTGGTTCTCCTTTCCTCCAGCATGTCCCGTTCTTTTGGGGACAGCTACCGCGTGGGCAGCACATTGGGGGTCCACGCTATCACCGTTTTCTGCTCCTGGGACTACAAAGTGACGCAGGATTGGGCCACCATCCTGCAGCAGAACAACCTCCACACCCAGCTGAAGGTTAGTGAGCTGCTCCTTGCCGGATAGCCAGGCAGGCCAGCGCGGTTCACTTGGACCAGACTGAGCATTCAAGGGGCTGGGGTGTCCGGTCCTCACCTATAATTGACAGGGTGTCACTTCTGCACCCTCAGCATTTGGGGTTTCCTCCATTTTCCACCACTGGGGGGGTCCCTGGGTTCTGCAGTGAGCATAGCGGCCACTGCCCTGGATGTGTGGGGGCTGGGCCAGCAGAACAGTCTGCAGAACAGTCTGCAGGTGATGGTCAGGTTGTCCTCCATTCCCCTGGGATTCAGCATGCCCCTCTGTCCATCTGTCCTGGGCTGCAGCCCCTGATGGCCTGAGTCATGGGGCAGGGTAGTGCCTGCTGGACAGGTGTTGGCCCTGTCCTTAGGAACCTCTTTCCCTGGAACAGTGTGGAAACTGTCACTTGTCTCGGGCCCCAGGGCTGGAAGGGACAGAGCTGGCCTGCAAGGGCTGTGCTCAGCCTTTGGGGTTTTATGCTGCAGGAATGGTGCAGTCACCCTAGAGGGTACTTCCAGGTGCTGAGGCCATGGGGATCCTGGTGTGGTGGGGCCACCCACACAGATGGGGAAGCCCAGCATGGTGGTGTGGAGGGGATGGACAGGGAGTGGCCAGGGGGTGGGCGCAGGGTGGGAGGCTGGGTGGGAGCGAGGTTGGTGGGTTTTGTGTGTGGATGGGGGTGGTGGCATGGCTACTTCCATGTGCCCCCCTCTTCCTGCATTCCATGTGCATGTCCCCTGCGTCCTGAGCATGTGCCCCACGTGTGTGTCTTCATGTCCTCTGTGTCCCTATGTCCCATATGTGTGTCCCCACATGTCCTGAGCATGTGGCCTGTGTGTGTGTGCCCCGTTCAGGTGTCCCATGCATGTGTATGTCTGTGTCACTCAGTGCTGACATTTGTCCTCCCCAGGAGATGCTGGCCGAGTGGCAGCTGCAGCGGGTCCCCCGGAGCGTGTGTGGGCGGCTGCGGCGGGTGGCCGTGCTGGGCCTCGTGTGGCTGCTATGCCTGGGGACCACCATGGGCTGCGCCGTGGCGGTCTACGCCTTCTCAGAGCACATGATGCAGGTGGGCCCCTGAGGCTGAGAGGGGGCAAGGGTGAGCTCCCGGGACCCCAGTCCTCTAGCAAGACTCCCTTTGGTGTTGGGGGCCCAGGAGAGCTGGGGTGCTGTGTGAGACCAGCCCCTGCTTAGGCTGAAGGCCTGCAGTGGGCTCTGCCCGCCTCACCAGCGACCCTCCTGCCCCTTCGTTTCCTGGGATGTCCCCCTTTCTCTCCTTTCACTTCCGGATCTTTTCTGGTTTCCTTCTTTGCGCACCTGTGTTCTAACCCCGCCCCCACCTCGCTTCCTGTGTCTTGAACTTGAGGCCCTGTGTGTGTGTGTGTGTGTGTGTGTGTGTGTGTGCGCGCGCGCGCACACGCGCTGTGTGTTAGGGGAGAGGGGGTGAGGGAGAGATTATCTCCAGTTCAGTCCCCTCCTCCTGCTGGACCTCTAGTCCCCACAGTCACCCTGTCCCCTCCCCTCACCCTAGCTGACCACCTCGGCTGCTGGTGGGACAGTGGCCGCGGGCCAGGAGGCGGCGCTGCTGTCCTTGCCCCTGGTGGTCAGCCTCATCAACCTGGTGGCCCCTTACCTCTTCCGGGGGCTGGCCTCTCTGGAGCAGCACGAGTCCCCAGTGCAGGAGGTGTACGTGGCCATCTGCAGGTGTGTGGGGGCAGGGCTGTGGCCTGGGGCTGCCTCCTGGGGCTCCCCTGCCTGCCATGCACCCCTCACTCTCCACATCGCACCCCCGCAGGAACCTCATCCTTAAGATGGTCATCCTGGGCATCCTGAGCTACCACTGGCTAGGCCGCCGGGTGGGCGTCCTGAGCGGCCAGGTGAGGGGGCGGCCAGGTGCGGGAGGAGGCGTGGGGACCAGGTAGACTGTGGCCTGGGGGTTGTGGGCCATGCGGGGGACTGAGGGCCCGGCTGTGGTTTCAGTGCTGGGAGGACTTCGTGGGCCAGGAGCTGTACCGCTTCATGGTGATGGACTTCATCTTCCTGCTGCTGGACACGCTCATCGGGGAGCTGGCCTGGAGGTGAGACCACCCCTGAACACGGCACCCCCTGCAGGCCGTGGGGGGAGGGCGCATCATGTGGGTGAGGGCATGGGGACACGGCACCCCCTGCAGGCCAAGTCCTTGCTCTTGTGCTCTGGGCACCCACAGTGGGCTGGGGGCAGGTGACAGCACCTGGGGGGGTCTCGGTCCTCAGGAGAGCAGACCCAGGCAGGAGTCCCCACCTTCCCAGCCTGCACTCTTTGAGCTGGATCTTTAGCTGAAGCAACGCCCACGAGACAGGATGTAACACGTTTTTAGGCTGGAAAGGAAAATGATATTCAAAACAATCTGTTTAAAAGCTCTTTTTGAACATGTGTAAAAATTGTTGTTGTTATGTGCCGTCGAGTCGCTTGCGATTCATAGCGACCCTATGCTGTGGTAAATAGAGAACACATTTTCCATTCCATCATGGTAACTTTTTTGTTAAGAGGAGAGAGAGTGGGGAGGGGCAGTTTTGAGGCCCCTGGCTGGTCCTCAGTGCAGAGGGTCACTTTCCGAGTGCCCACACTGAGCTTCTGGGTGCTGGCATCTTGAGTGATTATTTTCTGCTTTTTGTATTTGTGTAATTTGAGAATGTATGGATTTAGCAAGAAAATTGTTGTTGGTTTTTTTTTAAAGACTTTTTCAGAGCAGTTGTAGGCTAAAAAGTGGAACAGAAGGCTCACGAGGGCTCTGTCTCTTCTCTCCCCTCTCCCACTGGGGGTCCCTTGGCTGCAGTTCTTAGGGGTGCTCAGGTGGCCTAGTCTGTAGGGAGTTGCATGCTAACCCAAGGGTTATGTTCTAGATTTGGTGTGAGCGTAAATACATCTGTCCTGGATTTAAAAAAAAAATTTTTTTATTATTTTTGTGTGTGTGTACCGTCAAATCGGATCTGACTGGTACAGGGTATGTGCATGTTTTAGACAAAAGTTCATGCACATCTTAGATGGGAACTGTGCCTTGGATGAGGGGTGGATGTGTGTGTGTGCGTGTGTGTGTCTTGTACACAGCTATGAACAAGTATGCACATGTTAGGTGAGTGTGTATGCATGTCTTATATGCAGTTGGGTGTGAACATTAGATATGGACCAGAAGGCTGTGACCAGAATGCTGGGCCCTGGGCACTACTGATCCCCTAGGTCTATGGGCACCTGAGGCAGGATGGGCAGGTGACTTCAGAGGCCTGTTCTGGGGTGGCCCTCTCCAGGCTGACCCTTGGCCTCTGCCCCAGGCTTGTCTCAGAGAAGAAGCTGAAGAGGCCACGGAAGCCGGAGTTTGACATTGCCCGGAACGTCCTGGACCTGATCTATGGACAGACTCTGACCTGGTGAGCATCCCCACCTCCTGCTACTAGGCTGGGAGGTAGAGGGTACTGGGGGTGATAAGGAGGGGGAGCCCAGTGGTGCCCGCCTCTCTAATACTCACTCTCTCCTCCTGCTGGGAAGGACCTAAGCAGCTGGGCTGGCCTGGGGGGTCTGGAATGACAGCTTCCAGGTTCCCCAGCCCTGCCTTGGGGTGGATCTGGGAGAGACTAGGAGTTTGCTTCAACTCTCAGCCAGGGTAGGGAAATGTTTAGTCCAAGAAAGGGACATGGAGGCCAGGCTGACCCCTGACATGCAGACCCCTCCCCCAGGCTAGGGGTTCTCTTCTCGCCACTGCTCCCCGCCATGCAGATCCTGAAGCTGCTGCTTCTGTTCTACATCAAGAAGGTAAAGGGGTGCCCAGACCCTCAACCCCAGGCAGGCACCCCCTCCGAGGTCAGGAACACGGAGACCCCTCAAGCCTGGGCATCAATACCAGGACCCCCCTGAGGTCAGGAACACCAGACCCCTCACTGAGGTCAGGAACGCCCCATACCCACCATGGGTAGGCGTGTCCAGCACCCCCAACATCAGACAGGGGTACTCAGAGCACCTCCCTGAGGTCAGGCACGCCCACTGTCCCTCCACCCTAAGCAGGCATGCCCAGAACCTCTCGCTGAGGTCAAGCAGGGCCAACCAAGCCCATCAACCCTGGCAGGAAGGGTCAGAACCCCTCTCACTCAGACAGGATGCCTCCTCCCCAGGCAGGAATGCTTGGTATGTTCTATCCAGGAGGCATGGCGCATGGCCTGGCACGCCATTGTCAAACCCCCTCGAGCCAGGGGGCTGGTGTCTAGTGCCCCTGGGTCAGTCTGACAACGGGAGCCAGGCTGGGCAGCATCCCTGCTTATGCAGCACTCGGCCAGTTCGGGAGGTGACTCTGGCCTCTGCCCTCAGGGTGGGGGTGCCCACTGGTTGAGAAATGGGAGCTTTGTTCCACTTCTGGCTTTCAGAGAGCCTGGTCCTTGTGCCCCTGGCCAGGTCCTAGGGGGCTGTGTTGGGGGTCCCTGGCTCAGACATGCTGGACAGAATGCTCACTTCGGGTTCTCCAACTCCACACCCTCCTCTGTCCACGGCCCAGCCGGCCCCCGGGGTCTGGGGTCAGGGGTCCCACGGGGTCAGGGGTCCCACGGGGTCAGGGGTCCCACGGGGTCTGGGGTCCCCACAGGGTCTGGGGTCGGGGTTCCCACGGGGTCGGGGTCCCACGGGGTCGGGGTCCCACGGGGTCGGGGTCCCACGGCGTCAGGGGTCCCACGGGGTCAGGGGTCCCACGGGGTCAGGGGTCCCACGGGGTCTGGGGTCCCACGGGGTCTGGGTCCCTACGGGGTCTGGGTCCCCACGGGGTCGGGGTTCCCACGGGGTTGGTCCCACGGGGTCTGGGGTCTCCCGGGGTCGGGGTTCCCACGGGGTCGGGGGTCAGGTCCCACGGGGTCAGGGTCCCACGGGGTCAGGGTCCCACGGGGTCAGGGGTCCCACGGGGTCAGGGGTCCCACGGGGTCAGGGGTCCCACGGGGTCTGGGGTCTCCCGGGGTCGGGGTTCCCACGGGGTCGGGGGTCAGGGTCCCACGGGGTCAGGGTCCCACGGGGTCGGGGGTCAGGCTCCCACGGGGTCAGGGGTCCCACGGGGTCAGGGGTCCCACGGAGTCGGGGCCTGGCTGGCATGAGGCCTGCTTCTCCCCTTTGGGGTGTCCCCCCCAGGCAGAGGCAGGGTGGCCGGTGGGCAGCAGTGACGGTGGCCTCTGTCCCGCAGACGAGCCTGATGGCCAACTGCCAGGCCCCCCGCAGGCCCTGGCTGGCCTCCCGCATGAGCATGGTCTTCGCCACGCTGCTCTGCTTCCCGTCCTTCCTGGGCGCCGCCGTCTTCGTCTGCTGCGCCGTGTGGCGGTGCGTACAGCGCCCCCTGGCGGCGGGGAGGACCCGGGGACCCGAGGGTGGAGTGGGGTGTCCTGAGCCTGGGATGGGGAGGACTTCACCAGTCCCCTTCCCACTGCCCAGGGTGAAGCCGTCCAGCATGTGCGGCCCCTTCCAGACCCTGGACACCATGTATGAGGCGGGCAAGGTGTGGGTGCGTCACCTGGAGCAGGGTGGCCACCAGGTCTCCTGGCTGCCCTGGGTCTACCACTATCTGCTGGAGAATACCTTCTTCATCTTCCTGGTGTCCGCCATATTGCTGTGAGTGTGGGGGCTACACCCCAGGGGGCCCTTCACCTGGGGAGGGGGCTGGCACCCTGAGAAGACCCTGGACCCTAGGAGGGTCCCTCGTCCCAGGGAAGTTTCACACCTCAAGAGGGTTCTGTACCCAAAGAGGGTCTTGCACCCAGGGAGGATCCTGTACCCCAAAAAGGTCCCCTGCACTATAAGAGGCCCTGCATCCCTAGAATGCTTTGCACCTTGAGAGGTCCTGCACCCCAGGAAAGCCCTATGCCCCAGGAGGGCCCTGAACCCTGAGAGGACCCTGCACCCTGAGAGGGCCGTGGACCCCAGGAGGGACCTGGCCCCTGGGAGGTGCTCCCTGGCCTGTAGGACGTGGACCAGGAAGCCCCCCTGACTGCCCATCTCCCACAGGGCTGTCATCTACCTTAACATCCAGGTGGTGAAGGGCCAGCGGAAGGTCATTTGTCTTCTCAAGGAGCAGATCAGCAATGTGAGTGCTGAGTCCTTGTCCTGGGGTCACACCATGTGACCTTCACCCAGGGTCACATGAGACCACCCACTACCTTGACAGGACAGGGTCTGGGGTCCTTTGTCAAACAGTAGTAGCACCAACAAACACAGAGTGGTTCCTGGTGCTGCCTGGCTCCAGCCAAAGGCCGCATTTCAGGCCTCGGGATGGAGCTACTTGAAGTGGCTCGTGGGCTTCTAGGTGGGGCAGGCACAAGGAGGGGATCAATGCCCTGATGTTACAAACAAGAGAGGGAAACAGTGCATTTTTCTTCCAGCACATACCACATGTGGGGGTAGAGAGCCCCATCCCACCTTTCTGCTGCTCAGTGGTCACCCTGGGAGGCAGCCTAGGGGGACCTGCCCACTTGTCAGATGCCTCACCATGTGGTGATCAGGGTTCTTGCTGACATTTGGCCGCCTGGGTTGGTGAAGGCTGCTTGTGCACCAGCAGAGTCTCGGGCCTGGAGCAGCTGCTCCTGTGGAACCTGCTGGAACTGGCTAACGGGACACATTTCCTGGGGACTTGAAATGAACCCTGGGACTCTGACAACACTCCTCAGGAGAAGTCTTGCCTTGTTCTTTCCCACTTGACTTTTCTGTGGCTTCAAGTCCGAGTCCACCTCGCGTCTCCCGCACCGTGCCCACTGGATGCAGTAGAAGGGTCCTGTGGTCACATGTGGGACAGCGTGAGGACAGGGAGGGTGGAGCAGGTGGACGCCCTGCCAGCCCCATGATGCCAAGTTCACGGCTCTGCAGCAGAGGGCCCAGGAGACAGTGCCAGAACTGCTGACAGACCACTGCAGCCCCTTGCCCTCACCAGCGTGTTCCCAGAGGGGTGCTGAGAGCAGGGTATCCTGCAGGGGTACCTCTGGGGCAGGGGGGGAGATGGGCTATGAGTGTTGGAGGAGGCTTGGTCTCTCCTGTTACCTGGGTGGGGCCCCAGCCACTTGTCTGTTGGGACTGAGTGTGACCAGCCCAGGGGCCCTGCTTCCCTGGGTGTGGACAGGGTGGCTTAGAGCACTGAGGCTTTGCGGCCCTTTCTGTCTGTGCCTCGAGGGCCTATGGCCCCTCCCCTCGGTTCCCACTGTAGACGCCAGGGTTGGGCCAGGGCACCAGGTCCCTGGAAGGAGCCGACAGCAAGTTCTCTTCCCTGTGAGGGCTGACTCGATGCTGACACTCGCTTGGTGTCCACTGTGCCCCATGAGACATGTGCTTTCTGCACGGTCATCCAAGAACTGCCCGGTGCCACCCATTCTCAGCCAGTGACCCGGAGGGCAGGAGGAAGCAGCCTGGTTAGTGCGGTGCAGGCCCAGCTGCAAAGCGGCAGACCAGCTCAGGTGTTCATCTTACGTGCTGATCACCTTTCCCGTGTCACCCTGGCCACGAAGGGACTTGGAGCTGTTTTCCCGCATGTAACTTGCACAGGCCTAAGAGTCACATAAAGTGCACAGGAAACTTATCTTGAGCCGGAGTCGCTTAAAAAATGTCCTTTTAGTCTGCACCTTATTTGTGAAAAAGTACCGTATGTGGCCTTTCCTTGGCTCTGCGCGCCCCTCGGCTTTGCCTCGATGCCTCTTCTGTCTTTTGCTGCTGGTGACGTGAGATGAAGCTTGTTTAGAGCCCCAGGTGCTGCATGAATCCTGTGGTTGTGGACAGACAGATGGATGAAGTACACTCACCCCTTCCCTGTTCTGCTCTTCTAGGAGGGAGAGGACAAGATCTTCTTAATCAATAAACTTCATTCTGTCTATGAGAGGAAGGAGAGGAGCAGGTGAGGGGCCCCTGGCGGGCATGTGTTGGGGGGAGAGAGCTGGCCAGGCCTCTCACAGCCTGCATTTGGAGGCTTCTTGGTCACTTACTGGACAGTCTCGGCTTGGGAGGATCCTGATCTGACTCTGGGACAGAGATGGTTAGGTTCAGAGCTTCCACCAGGTGACAAGCGCACATCATAGCTGTCACCAGGGCTGGGGTCCCACAGCCCTGCGGCCTGCACATTGGAGGTGCACCCGCTTCCAGGCCTGGCTGACTCGAAATTTGGCCTGGACTCTGGGTCCAGGGGCTCTCCCAGAAGGCTGGAAGCTGGTGTTCCTTTAACCACAGGGCCCCTCTCTCATGTCCCTTTCTGGCAGGACCCCTGACCAGCTCTCGGATGAACAGGAGACCCTGTAGGAAGACCACCAGCCCGGCCATGTTGCCTTCTGTCCCTGCAGCACTGCCTGGTGCAGCTGCTCTCCTGAGACTGTGCTGGCCCCCCAAAGACTGGCAGGGATCACTGCAGCCTGGCGGTGGCCAGAGGTGAGATGGTCTGGCCTCTCCATGGCCCCCTGGAACTCTTATTTATTTTAATAAATGTTTTGTAAACTGGACACGTCTCTGGAGAGTTCTGTGACACGGGTGCTCCCAGGTGGACAACCGCAGGCCCAGGTGGTGTCTCCCTTGTCTGCCGACCCCACATCCTCCCACATGCCCAATGAGAGACCTCTGTCCCCATGTCCCCCCATGTGTCCCTGGGAACACTAGCTCTGGGAGCCCCCCTGCTGGCCCAGCCCTGCATGGCAGGGACTAGACTCTGGCTGGAGAGGGCCTACAGGCAGGGATGGCTGGCACTTAAGGCTGTGAGGTCCTCACCAGGACTGATGAGGGGTTTGGCTGACCAAGGATGAGACAGTCCCAGCTCTGAGCAGACAGTGAAGTCAGCACCAGGGTGTGTAGGGTAACGCAGCAGCCAGAGGGGAACAGGCCACCCTTGGGCAGGCTGACCCCCAGGGGACATGGCATACGGGCCCTCAGCACTCACCTAGAATGGACCTGGCCTCTCAGGGTTTAATGAATGTGGTGCCCCTTGTCCTGTCCTCTCTGTGGGCAGTGGGGCAAGCAGGCCAGGCAGTGCTGGTGATGAGTGGACACTCACCACCCACTGTTTAAATAGTGACTTGTCGCCAAACCAGATGACACCCAGAACCACAGCGCCTCGTTGCGGAGGAATGGCTGTCCACCTCCACTGAGTCTCCACCTGGGGAACTTTGGGGAGTGTAGAGATGACAGGTGGGTTCTTCAGGCCCCCAGATGCTGGTTTAGTTGGTTGAGGGTGAAGAACGGCACTGGATTTTCACAAGTTCCCAGGTAATTCTTGCACTCACTCAGCCGAGGTTGGGCCCTGCCCGACGCTGTCAGCACTGGATGTACGTGTTGCCCCCATGAGGACCTGACACACAAGCTGTCACCAGGTCAGTGCTGCCCCAGAGGTTGCCTATGGCTCCCACCTGGAGAGGCTGGTTCAAGCCCTGTACCTCTCTGGTGTCAACAGCGTTTCCAGCCACGCCCAGCAGGTGTGCACCGCTGAGCCATCCCAAAGGCTCTCCCTCTTCCCTCGTCAGTGACCTGGCCGCCTGGCCCTCCCTGGCTTGGATGCCTCCCTCACCCCGACCTCCTCTAACTCCTCCCAGTGCTGCCAGGACTGTTGTGCAGCTGTGAAAGGTCCTTTCCTTGATCTGGATCTCCAGCGAGTGAGTCTTTAAAGCTCCAGGAAGTGGACTTGGGGTGGAACGTGGTCCCTGGCAAGGTTCCCTGCTCCCCAGTCGGCCTCAGTGGACACGAGCACATTTGTGGGGTGTCCGTGTGTGTGGGGATGATGGTCCAGATCCTGGAACTCACTCTCTTGCGGGGCTTTTCCTGAAATATCCCACTCCCCTAAGCCCCCACCCCCAGGCTGCCCGCAGAGGTGTTTGCAGTGTCTGCAGGCTCAACTCTCAGAATGCAGGCCTTGCGACTCTGCCAGGGGATTCAGGCAGAAAAGGCAGGTGTCTACGAGCCGGCCAAGGGCGGTGTGGTCTGTCCTTTGTCCAGCAGAGTGGACACTGGCTGTCGTTCTGAAGCACACTGATGCTCCATCTTGAGTTCCAGGTCACGCGTGGGTGACAGCATTGTGGAGAAGTGAGCTAAGGCCAGCGTGCCGTCACGGTGGACACACGTGTCACCTTCTCTCTCCACACATTCCTCATGTTCACACTGGGCCATGGTGACAGAAACTGGGGTCCTCAGCTGTGAGCCTGGCCGCGTTGAACTGCCATTGAGACGGTCCATCCTGGTCATCAGCAGGTGTGGCTGGGGCCTGGAGGTGGGCGCATGCCTCAGGGACCACGGGTCCATCTCAGGTGAGCCACAAACCGTAAAACAAAAAGGTTGAAATCTGAGTTTATAGACAGTAGCTAGGACTGATAATAAACTTATTTGTACTGATTGACATATTTGACGACAGAAAAGGATTTTGACTTCTCCAGCACCAGGCAGCTGAAAGCTGCTCATTTTCAGTGTTGGTAGTTGTTGCAGAAAAACTCATGCCAGCAAGTCTGAACACGTGTCAAGTCTTAGGAAAATCATACAGTTTGTCAGAGGACAGGACGACTCAGCATTTGCACACAAACTGAAAATTGCCTTGTGGGGGGGAATCCCAAAAAACACCCCTCAACCAAACAAAAAACCACATTTATCTGAACAGCCAAGGAAAAAATTGCAGTTTATTAAAGAGTTGACAAAGCGTTGTACTTTTCAAAAGCAACTTTCGGTGCCTGTTCTTCAACAGTCACATTCTAGGAGGACATGAAAAGCCACAGATTTGTGTTTTTAATCTCAGAGTGACAAAGATGAAAGGCCAAAAAAAAATACTGAAAACAATCCAACAGAGGAACACGAAGGAACGAACGAACGGACAGGGTCTCGACGCGCCCGCCCACCACAGAGCGCACGGGCTGTTTCTACAACCGAGGCCAGTGCAGAGGGACGGGCAGGCGGGCGTGCACACACACGCACACACTCACGCACGCACGCACGCACACACGCGGGTCCCATGCCTGTCCCCAGGGCCGCCTGCATCAGATACGCAGGGCGTGGGGACGGCAACGGGGCGCAGTTATCCCAGGAAGCTTTATCGAGCTGAATACACTAGGTCGAGGACAGTATCCTGACCTCAGTTTGTGCATAGTTCAGAATCCTCTAGGAAACCAGCTTCCATGGCCCACGGTCCTGCAGGGCCCCCTTTTTTACTTAGTAATTTTTTGTTTTATTTTGATAAACCATTAAAAAGCTAATTAAAAATGTAATGCACAAGGTTCCTGATCAAGCAGGCAGGGAGCACGGTGTCCATATATATATATGTATATAAACTTTTTTAAAAACATACTTGAGGGTATGTTATTCCATTGTCTGTCTTCTTTCAAAACAATCAAAACATCGATCATTTTTAAAACATAAAGCAATTTTTAATATATAAAGCACTCTTCAAACATCTATTTCTTTTCAGTCCATTATTTGGTAAATATGTAACTGCTACACATTAGAGATTAGGTATTTTTTGTCTTTTTTTTTCCTTTTTCTGTTTCCTTTTTTTTTATTTTTAAATTTTTTAAATAACATCTTCAGTGCTAGGAGTTGGGTTTAAAAATACGTGAAACGGTGCGGAGCTGCCCCTCGGGACCCCTGCTTCCCTGAGAGCATGTCCAGCGTGTGCAAGACAAGTGACCACGGTGGCCCGTCACCGTGGTGACGGCGGGACACGGGAGCAGAGTCCACGGCGACGCGGAGGGGCCACGGGCACACTGGCTCCCCAGCTCTGAAGGAGCATCTCGCTCGAAAATAGGCTTCTTCACAACGCAAGTCTTTTTTTTTTTAAATTCCTTTTTAATTTTTTCTTTTTAAAATTTTTTTATTTTATTAAAGTCTGAAGGAGGGAAAAAAAGGTCTGTAAACAGGTGGGGGCCAGGGCTCGGCCCCCCCAAAAGCAGTCACAACCTCGTCCAAGTGCTCGTTCCGTTCCCAGGGCGGGAACCCCCCCACTTGGCAAGGCTCTCTGGCCACAGTTCACCAACAGTTCTGCAGTTTGCTAACTTTATATTCCAAGTGGAAAAATGGTGCAATACTCTGGTAATAGTTTTTCTTGCATTAGTCCACAATAACAAGCTGCGAAAGGTAGGTATACATATTCTCTCTCCGGAGACACACGATCATGTTCAAATGCAGTAACAGAGTCCTTGAGTAAACGTTTACACGTGACCTGCGGCCGGCCGTCCTGCGACTTCTCGCTGCGGGCAGCGCCAGGAGGGCGGGGCGCTCAGTGCAAAGGTAAAAGCTCCTCCAACCATGGACGCTGACCGAGGCGTCAAAGCACACACACACTGACAGCTGGGCGGCCCCAGGCGCTGCACACGCACTGGCACACACGGACGAGGAAAGTGCATGCAGCATCACGCACGCGCTCACACACTCACGCACACGCTCACACGGAGGCTGTGAACTCAGAAATGTCCTCAGAGCCTGCTCCTGTGTCCTGACGTCCACCAAGGGATACAATGCGACTCGGAAAGTGTTCACATTTCCTATTGGCCTGCTGGATTCAAGTATTTGCATGTTTGATATGTCTCTCTCTCTCTTTTTTTTTTTTCTTTTCTTCTTTTTTTTTAAATTTTAAAAAATATCTTTTTTTGGGGGGATTAAAAAAAAATGACATGAAAAAGTAATGAAACGGGGTAATGTGCATAGGCGGATCCGTGGGTAGAACAGACCGAGACCGACCACGCTGCCCAGCAGTCTGTCCGACCGTCCCATCTGTCTGTCCAGGGTCGGGACGTCCTGCCAGGATCCACCTCTCCGCCCGATTACTGGGCGCCTCTGGTCATGTGCATAATCGTCACAGGCTTGTTAAGTCGGCTTTCCCGCCCCCGCCCCCACCCCGGCTACGGGGACCCTCTCCAGCCCGCAATCTGAAAAGTGCCCTTCATGATCCAGCTATTCTAAGCAGCTTTATACTCAAAACTCAAAGGACAACACAAGGTACACACGGAGGACGACACGGGGGAAAGCTATCAAAGAATCCTGTCATTAGCGTGTGACACTGGCACAGCCGGCACTGTCTTGGACAGTTCGCAGGGGCTGCGTGAAGGTCCATGGGGACGGGGCGGAGGTACTGGAGGGCCCGCGGGCTGGGCGGGAGGCAGGCCGGAGTCGGAGTCGGAGTGCTGACCAGCCAGGCTCCTGGGTCTAGATGGACTCCCCGCTGAGCAGGTCACCAGGAAGCAGGGTGTTGAGGGGAGTAGGGCTGCCGATCACCCCGCCGTCATCAACACTGGGGGGCCCCCACAGGCTGCTGGAGTACTGGGGAACCCCACCCCACAGCAGGTCGCTGCTCCCCTTGCCGCCCAGGCACGGGGCGCTCCAGTGTCCAGCGTCGCGCACCAGGCCGTGGGCGTTGCCCGAGGTGCCCAGCCGTGTCTGGCTGGTCCCTGCCGTGGACTGCCAGCTGGAGGTGGGGGGCAGTGGCTGGCCCTGAGCCAGGAAGCGGTTCACTTCCTCCTCCCCGGCGAACTCGGCCAGGATGGTGGTGTTGCCCAGCACACACCTAGGGCAGAGAAGAGGCAGAGTGAGCGTGGCCGTGGACAGTGTTGCCAGCCAGGGCCCCTCAGAGCCTAGGGGGACAGCACCCTGCACATTCTCACTTCAGCCACCTTGGGGCCCTCTGGACCTGCATCGAGAGGACACTGTCTACAGGCGTGCATGGGAGTCTGTGGACACCAGGGTCTCCATCCTGGACCCTGGCTGCCATGAAGATTCAACCAGGGGACACTGAGTCCAGGCTGGCTCACAGCCACTTGTGGACGTCAGAGTCACACTGGCTCCCCAGCTGCCAGCAGCTGCTCTTTGGGACGTGGGTTGCCGGGCAGGCTTTTCTTCTGAGGTGCCTCGGTATGGACTTGGGACCTTTTAGGAGTGGCTGGGGATGCTAATTTGACCCAGGACTCGACTCTAAGCCTAAATGACCAACTCTCCATTCTCAGGGCCAATGTCCTCGCTCCCTCCAAGGACCCCAGGGGCCTCACACAGCAGCAATCATGCACTTGGACTTCGTGGGCCTGGCTGAGGGGCTTCCTCTCAGTGAAAGGCAACAGTGAGACCCAACAGGGGGGGCGAGCCCTCCAGATGCAGCCCAGGGCTCCCAGGAGGATGGGGCCAACCCCTCAAGTCCTAGCCTGACACACTGCACAGCAGTCCTGCGCCCAGGGCACAAACACTCAGAGCCAGCCTCACATGCCCACGCCCAGCAGCCCCGGCCCCCACTCAGCCCGGCCGGCCGGCAGAGGACGCACATGTGCAGGGACTTTTGCGCCTTGGCAGCCTCCTCCTTGGAGCTGTAGCGGACCACGGCGTTCCCCTGCGTCAGGTTCAGGTGGAATGTTATGAGAGGGCCGTGCTGCAGGCACAGCGTCCGCAGCGTGGAGCCGTCAATCTGCGGGGAGGGACAAGGTGTCACCTGCTGTCCCGGACCACACCAATCCAGGAAGCAACGTCCTGAAAGAGCCTGACTCCCAAGCCAGGGTCGGCTTCACTCTGGAGCCCCATCTATGACGTGCAAGTCAGGGTTTATCCAAACTCTTCCTGAGCACATGATTTAGAGGCATTTACCAAGTTCATGTACTTTGTAACCCTGACCACCATCTATTACAGAACTTTCTGTCAACACACCAACACACACCTCACACCCTGTCCAAAGAAATGCCCTCGGCTGCCTCTGGAATTCCTGCTGCATGCTTTTTATTTGAGGAGTTAAGCCAAGCAGAGGTAGGAAGCCCCTGAATGCTGGGGTCGCACGCCCCTCCTGTTGGAGGACGTCACACACCGCCCGTGGGGGTGGGCACTGCGGCTGCGCGGGCCACGTGTGCTGGCAGTGTGCTGGGTGTGCTCACCTGGGGCGTGAGGTTTCGGAGGACGAGCCAGCTGCTGGTCCTTCCTGAGGTGTCGGTACTCCAAGCGGAACCTGCCAGTGGGCCCAGCAAGGAAGCTTAGCATCTCTGTCCCCAGGCAGAGATGCCCCAGATGTTCCCCTTAGACCCCCAGGACCTGGTTCCCAGCGCTCCCCTGTGTATTGTATCCCTGTCCCGAGAGCCCTCCGCTCCGGTGTTCCTGTCCCTCAAGTTCTCTTGCCCTGTGTCTCTGTCCCCTTAGTCCCCCCATGACCCTGGCCCAGCCCCACACCCCAGCAGTCTGTACCTGAGGAGTAGGAGCTGGTCCAGCCGAGGGGGCTGGCTCCCCAGGTGGAGGAAGGCTTGGGAGTGGCTAAGCCTGGAGGGGGCCGTGTGGGTGCAGTGGTGCTTCTGGGCACCTTCCACAGTTCATGGGACAGAGAGGCCTGGGTGTGGGAGGCAGGGCCGGAGGACCATGTGGACTTGATGTCTGACAGCTTACCTGCAAGGGAGAGAGGGCACACACTTCTGAGACAAAGCACAGGCCCGGAGGGCAGGGCAGTGCCTCAGATGTCAGCCTGACGGCACCAGCTGGGGCCCTAAGGGGCTTGCACACCACGGTGACAGTCACAGCCCAGCTTCTGCCCCTATTTCTGGAGCTTTCTCAGTTTGTCAGACACTGTTCCCATCCACGGCTACCCCGTGGGACAGGTCAGAACACCCCTTGCTGGGGCAGGTGGCCAGGTCTTGCTTCCAAGGGCTGATGGGCACGTTCATACCGTCAGCCTTCCTGTTAGGTTACTGCTGAATGTCACCCACTAAACAGAGACTCACAGTTCAACATTTAACCAGCTCCAGCGACCCTCGGTGAGGCACCCTCACCAGGCTGAAGCAGTGCCAGCTGTGCTGCCGTGTGCCCGCTCTTAGCTGCTGAGTGGCTGAGGACTGGGTGGTTCAGGGCCCAGGTCCCCGTGGGCCGTCACCAGTGGCAGTGCCCAGGTACAGCCTGGGCTCTGTGAGTCTGCAGTGACCAGGGGGACGTGGACAGGACCTCATGCCTCCAGGGGGCAGCTTCCAGCCTGGGCCAGAGAGGAGGCGGCTGCTGGGATTGACTGGGATGGTGGACAGAGACCAATGAGGAGTCGCCCATGATCCCACCAGCGGACTCTCACGGGCCTGTCTTCTGTTGAATGATGAGGGTTAAAGCTCTAGACAACTGTCCTCTTACACGTTAGGAGGGACAGACACTGAGAGCAGTACAAATGAGCTCAGAGACACATACATAAAAGCAGCTAACCAGCATGAAACCAGCTCCCCAGACGCTTTGGTATCAAAAGAATTCCCTGCACCCTCACGCTGAGCAAATACGGTGGGAACGCAGAACAGCCCTCGAGAAAAGTGGTGAGACTTCAACATTCCTGTGTCAAGTTCTAGGTTCTTCAACAACTGCCACACACTTGTGTTTTCACGTCTCTCATGACAAGTCTCCTCTCAGCCAGAGCATCTGTGAGGTCCTGGGGGACAGGTCAGACAATGGCGCTAGGCTGCTGGGTGTCCCTGCATGTGGCCCAGGGTGGGGGGAGAAGGAGGCGAGAGGAGGGCACGGGTGCTATAGCTGTGTCCCGTCCTGCACTGGACATTTTTAGAGCAGGGAGGCTTTCACAATGACCACCATTCTCCTTCTGGGTGTGAGGTGACATGCACCACAATGTGGGCACCAGGGCCAAGTCCCTGACGTCCTCTCTACACACGATCTCCCGCTCGCTCGTTGAGGGTCCACAGTGGGCTGTGGGAGGGAGCCGGAAGGCGGCGGCATACCTGCAGTGCTAGATGCGGACGCAATGGTGCTGAAAGGACCGCTGTAGCCGGGGGCACGGAGCGGCCAGGCACTGGAGGAAGGCAGCGTGGCGTTCTGAGATGATGGTGGGGAGGACCCTGCGGAACCAGACAGGCACTGAGCAAGCATCAGGGAGGGACCTCCCGGGGGACGTGGCGGGACCCCTGGTGTCCTGATGTGGGGGACAGGGCAGGACCCCCAGCACAATACTCAGAGCTGAGAGCCCCCTCTTGAGCTGCTGTGCTGGGAGGGCGGCAGGAGGGAGGGCAGGACGCGGTCAGGAAGGCAGCGAGGACCCTAGAGCCAGCCAGGCCCCTGCCCGTGTGCAGGAGCCTCTGTACCAGCTGTGCTCGGGCTTCAAGTCACACACCCGATGGTCATCGTCACCTTTCCAGCAGTCCATCAGTTCCCCTTCCAAATAAGATAAAAAGAAAAATTCCGTGCAACCCTCCTAACTTGTCATGTCACACATTGCCACAAAATGAAGAGCCAAGTTGATCGCCAAGCCTCTTCCCGTGAAGGTACAGCCACCCCACCAGCCTTGAAGCAGTCATGTCCCAGGTCACCTGCTCTCACGTACTTGGACTTCCTGTGCAGCACACAAGTCAGTAACAGGCTGGGCCACTCTCAGCAGAGGGAGGGGGCCTGTGCCTGGAGGGGCAGGGCAGGATGTCCCTGTCTGGCCTGCCTTAAAATCTCTGAGGCCAGCCAGCAGCCTGGGGGCAGAGCATCTGGTGAGCGCCCCTCCGCTTGGACACAGCTGGCGGGCAGTGGGCAGGGGCAGGGCCGGCTCGACGTCCTCATCCACACAAGGTTCCAGGCCCTGGTACCCTTCAGACGGCCCAAGCTCAGGGCACCGCTAGTGGTGCAGCGCTCACTGCAGGATGAAGGCTCCAGAGCTGAGAATTCAGTCACTGGGGTCTGCAGGCCTTTGATGTGATAAGCAACGCGTCAGGTCAGCCATGGCCTGTGCTTTTGTGCAGAACCGCACACCCGAGAGCCAAGATCAGAGGCAACTTAATCCCGCAGGTGCTACTTCTCTCATTTCCAACAGGGGAAGGGGATTTTCAGAGTGTCTGGCTTTCCCATTCTAACGGTCCACGATCCAGTGAACACCTCCGCTGGATTGCTCGGTGTTGTGAGTCTGCCTGGAAACGTGTGTGTGGGGTCTCTGTCTGACCACCTATCCCTTTGGCCAGGCCAGCGCTGGCTACAGTGATTTTAACACCAACGAAGACCTTGCCCTGATGTCAAGAACAAGAAATAAAAAACACGAGCACGAGCACCCCCACAACTGATATTCCCAATAACTAGACAAAACGGAAAAGTCCACTATAAAAACAGGCACCGGTCAAGCTGGTGTGAGGAAATCTCTAGGGACCTTTGGAAACACGCGAGTCAGTTCTCAAAACAAGCTTCCTTCAGTCTCTCAGGATCAGGGGTTCGGCTCCTCTAGAGAACCAAGCCCAAGACGCCCCGATGCTGACCACTAGCACCCAGCAGCAGTACAACGCCTGGCTGGAGACCTGACCAGCACTCTGAGCTCCAGTCACCTCAACAAAAGGCTCTGAGGAATGTGATGATGGGCGCACAGCCTGGAGCTACTGGGGACATGGTGCCACGTCCCTCATTTCAGAGGAGGGGTTGTCATCTTCCGTTTGTTAGCGTGAAGGTCAGCACACTTCTTGGGATGAAATCCCCCACCATACACACTGTGGGGCTGGGAAATCTGGTGTACACTCCCGGGCCGCCCCCACCATGCCTCCAACACAGTGGCGGCAGATGGCAGAAGCTGTGGGCCATGCCTCAGTGCTACGCAGAGGCTGCGGGCTGACACCGAGAGCCAGCGCTCGCCACACCACATAACCCTGATCCTCTGCGTGCGTCAGGACCACGCACACTCACTGTCCACGGTCCTCACAACAGCGCCTCCTGCGCCCACTTTGCTCACCATCACACACCATGCTATCCACAGTCCTCAGAGCATGGCGACCCCCTGTCCCTGCTCTGGTCAGCACCCGCATGCTGCACTGTCCACACTCCTCTAAAGCCAATGATTCTGTGCCCGCACTGGTCCGCAGCAGTCACATCACACTGTCCAGGGTCCTCGGCCCAGGGTCTGACGCACCAGCTTCCACAGACAGCAGTCTTCTCTCCCCGTCTGGGCCTCAGCCTGGCCCTGGCCTGGACACAGGCGGCCTCCGTTTCCCTCAGTTCGCTGCCACCTGCTCCCTTGCCCTTGGCAGTAGGGATGGCCAGGCGGCCGGAGGGCTGCACTGAGGCGTAAGGCTGGTGTGGCCCCGAGGGGCCGACTCTACTTTGTTGGCCTTACACACCTGTTGCCTCTCCTTACCTGACGGGCCTCTGAGACACGCCTCTCCCCCCTGGGTCCCACTGGCTGGGAAACTAGTCCTGCTCTGGGGACCAGATTGTGAGGCCTTACTGGATGGAAGCATCACGTCAGAGGGTGCACATCCCTGCTGAACAGGGCTCTCAGGGGACTGCCACGGCTGAGGCTGGCCCCACATACGTGCCAGAAAGGAGGCCCTGGATGGTGGAGCTCCCCGACTTTGCAGACAAAGACGAGCCCGGGGCAGGTGTGAGGAGTTAGCGCGTTTAAGTCACACCTGAAGTGGGACCGAAGAGGTTAACACTGATTTCGGGGCACCTGAACACTGAGATGATGTGCTGGTGAGCCAGTGGCACCCTCACCCAGGACCAGACTGTCCTCCTGCTGCCGCCCAGGTGGCCCCCTCTCACCCCGACTCTCACCCCCAGCCAAAGCCCCGGCGTGGTGGCTGGCCCGGCTCCTCACCTCCACTCTTGAGGAGGTAGCGGTTCACGTCCTGGATGGTGGTGTTGATGGTGGGCCCCGTGGGGACACTGCCGGGAGTGACATCCGGGTCGTTCTCGGGGTCAATGTTCTGAAGTCCTTTCCATGGTACTCCAGGGTGGAATTCTGTCCACGAGACCAGACACAGGACCACGTCACATTCCGATGTGATGCTCAAACCCGGCTCTTTTCGTGTGTGGAGAGGCCCCTCTCCCACTAAATTCATCAACCTTTCAGAACCTTTGGAACCGGCTAGAAGCAGGCACTGAAGCCGCCCATGAAGGCAGTTTCCAGAGGGCAGCATCAAGCCCAGAGGCAGTTCCACAAGGAGGCAGTTCCACCCTCCTCGCTCCCCCACCCCAGTGAAACAGGGGCAAAACTGCTTCTAGTGAAGACGTCTGCCGTGGCCCCACGCCAGTCCTGGGTCCATGCCCGTCTCCCACTCACATCTGCGGCACAGAGGTGGGGGCTGACCTTACCTGGGGGCCAGTTAATGCTGGAGCCATTGGAGATCTTGTCACTGTCAGATTTGGCACGTGACCAGCTGTGGGGAACAGCTACAGGCGGACTGGCTGGGGACTCACTGTTCTGGATTAAATCGTACCGGCTGTAGGAGTCGTCAATGGAGGACTTGGCTGGAGGTCCGATGCTGAGACCCCCAGGGATAGCACCTAGAGGGCGGGGAGAAAGGCCTCGTCCACGCGGCTCCTGAGATGGAGGGGCGAGCCCAGCATCTCAGGGTGCATGCCCACTTACAGCAGGGCTGTGTCTCGCACACACGTCAGTCTCATCAGGTAGTCTACATGTTTCTCCTCTCGTCTTTCTCCTTTTCACCCTGTTAACCCTCCAAGGTCGGTGCTGTGTGCGAACCTCACCTCCATTTCCCACACCACCCTGTTCTAGGGCAAGGCTCGTGCCCCCACCCTCTTCTAGTGGAACCCTCTTCTCGTGTTGCCCCGCTCCGCTTGCTCTAGATCCACCCGTGCCGTGTGGTCTTTCACAGACGCTCGCCTGTGGTTGTGGCGCCGATACTGCCCTGAGTGGATGCACCCGCTCGTTTGCTGCTGGACCCTTGGCTGGTTTCCAGCTCCTTGTCGTTGCAGACACAGGGACAAGCATGAGCACTGAGAACTGTCCTCCTCTGACTAGGACACACCCCGGCAAGCGGGAGCACTGACTTCCTCCTCCCCATTGTTTCCTCCAGTGCTCTGTCAAGCTGCAGTGTGTCCGTCAGTATGTCGTCCTGTGAGGCTGTGTGTCAAGGGCCTTTAGAAGCCACGCCAGCAGGAGGCCCACCCACGGCGGACAGGTTTGTGCAGTTCCCAGACTCAGGCTGATGAGGAAAAGGACCTGACCACCTAATTCTGGTCAGAGTACAGCTCTCAGGACCTTCAGCTGTTCAGACGGCATGACCAAACAGGAGAAGAAATGGCAGCAACACCCCAATACCTGCAACAGGGAGAGTCCAGAGCCACGCTCAGAGAACTGGGGACCGTGTAACAAGGAAGTGGTCACATCAAGAGCGGTGTCCGGGAACTCGGGAGCGGAAATGGACCTGAGAGGCCGTTCTGAACAGGACAAACGTGTCATCTACTATGCTAGGGATGCCACATTGAAGAGGAATTCCACTTACTGTAAAAAAGTACATTTCAAGATCAATCCCAAAGCACAAAGAGGTTAGTGATAACAACGCCATGTCCACAAGGAATACCAGTCACTACGGCCAGTATTTACATTTCTGCACCAAGAACTAAAGCTGAAGATGGCCTGGGGACTCGTGCCAGGTGCTGCAGCGTGAAATAGTCAAACACATAGTGAAGACCCATCAGCAGGAACTGGGGATTGGAATGTGAAAGTCCGAAGCCAAGAAGGGCTGACGGGCTTGGTGACAGGAACAAGTCTGAAGAGAGTATGATAGGATTTCTTATGACCAGTATTCACTGGACATACAACAGTCATCGCAAACACCTGTGTCAACAACATAGATGGTGACCACAGACATGGTTCTTGCTGGACAGAACACACAGGACTATATCTGACTGTATCTGTGGAAAGGATGACGGAGAAGCTCAGTGTTAAGTCAAAATAAGGCCCGGTGCTGACTATGGACGGATGATCATCAGTTGCTCACATAGAAGTTGAAGATTATCCCGCCTAAATTGAGAGAGATCCTCTCAAGAGCTGACTTGACCAACTGAACACAAATTACCAGAGGCCTTAAGGGATGACATCAAGGACACTGTAGGAAGAAAGTAAAAGCTCATTTGAAAAAAGCAAGAAAGAAAGGAGATCACAGTGCAGCTCAGAAGAGACTCTGAAACTTGCTCTTGAATGTGGAATAATCAAATTAAATGGAACAAATGATGAGGTCAAAGAGAGGAGAGGGTATCAAAGGGCAGCTTGAGCTGCTGGAGTGAAGGGTCCAAGGTCAGGTGCCCAAATGATGGGGTGGTATGTTTTAAGACTTACATAAAAAGAGGGGGGAATGATAGGGTGGTACTAATAAGTGCAGAATTCTCTATATAGGTATCAATTAAAAAACTCTCGTGTTCTCCAGCCTGCAGGGCTGGTTGCTTGACCTTGGAGTTCTTAGTGTCCTTTCTGCCACCTGTTATCAGAAGAGGAGATGCAGCTCCCAGATTAGCTGTTATCTCTTTGAAGCTGTTTCCCCCAATCATACTAAATTGTAACTTAATCCATCTCTTTGCCTGGAAAGAGAGTATCTGGGTGTGAATGATTTTCTTTCAGATAAAAATTTGATTTTACTAACAAAAGTTTATGGTTAAGTAAGTTGGTGTCTCACCCCCCTCTAAAAGCCCATGACCACTCCCAGACCGGGAGGCAGTCTTGGAGGTGACTCCCTGTCTCCCAGATCTGTGTAATAAAGTGCACTTATGGATACTGCAATCCATTTGTCTCACTGGCGACTGACTATGGAAAGAAGCCCTTGTGTTCTGTAACACAAAGACCTGAGGTCAGAGCCCAGAAGGGAGGGCATCCTCGGCATGTGTTAAGTTGAAAGAACTGAAGAGAAACATGAAGTGGTGAGTTGTTAGAGGGAAGAATTGAGTGGAGAACACGTGAAATGATGCAGGAAGCGTCAAGAGTCACTGAACAAAAACCAACTGGTCAGTTCTCAACTGTTGCAGGAGACGGTAACACAGGGTCAAAGAATGGAACGTAAAGAAATCCAGGCTGGAAAAGCAGTCCACACTGCAGGGACTGAGGAAAAACAAGGCCAGTAACTGCTGGAACACCAGTGTAGACACTTCAACGAGCGGATGTGAAGCTGAAGTGCTCACCAGTCTACGTCAAGAAACCCAGAAGACTGCGACGTGGCCAAGTGACGGGAAAAGATGCATCATTTATGCCCATTCTGGAGAACAGTGACCCAAGAGAAGGGGGAAGTTACTGAACAGTAAGTAAAGTTAATATCAGATGCAAGTGTGCCCCAGCACTGTGCTACAGTCACATATTTCACCACATTTATTCAGTGTGAATGCTGAGCAAGAAATCAGAGAAGCTGGACACGACCTGAGAAGCAGCATCTCGATACATGTGGAGAAAAGACCCAAACAGTCGAAGACGTCATTTTTCCTGGGTCCAGAATCACTGCCGACCAAAGCAGTAAGAAACCCAAACCCCAAAGGATACGCTTTATCAGGCAAGCCTGCTCACACACTGTCCAAAGCCCCAATGCCCCAGTCCACTGAATAAACTGTGGATGTTAAGTGACGCTTATCTGAGTAAGGTAACTTTTTCAAAGTTGTGCTAACTATAGGATTTTGTTTGTTGGGCACTTTTAGAGAATAATTCCGTTAGCTTGAACTTAGCTCTTGACTGACATAAAGCTTTTAAGAACAGCTCTGTGGTGTCCCTGGCCGGTATAAATGGTTCACACACTTGGTTGTTCATCAAAAGGTTGGAGGTTCAGGCCCACCCAGGGGTGACTTGTAAGAAAGCCTGAGCAACCAACTTCCAAAACATCAGCCCTTGAAAGCTAGCACACAGTTCTGTGCACACACCACACAGTGCCACTCAGAGTGGAAGTGGGCATGAGGGCAGATGGTATGGGCAGTGTCAGTCAGTCAGACTGTACATCTCTAGAAAAGGCCTATCTGCACCAACCAGACAGATCAGAGGAAGGTTTGGGGGTTAGCTGTCAGATTGGGGGTGGTCTGTGTCTGGCTACAGCAGTGCAAACACAGCCCCACCGGGCTTGTGGCTCAGCCCACCAAAACACATCCTTCCAAACGGACCCGGCGCAGCCCACTGCTGGCTCACCTGCAGAGCGCATGCCTGCCTGCCTGGCTTTCACACAGAATCAACCATTAGGGAGAATTTTTCTTCTCTTTCGGATGCTTTGCATCAAGAGAGAATTAGGGAACTTTTAAACTCCCTGTGCTGCTCTGCTACCAGGGAGCTCGGAGCTGATCCACAGCTTCCTAGTGCTGCCACCTCCCACTGCATTTCTGCTTGTGCCTCCTCGGGAAGCATGTGAGGTCCTAGCATTTGATCGTAAATTGTGGACAGGGGAGGTAAGCAGTGCCCAGCCCCATCGAGGTTTGTGGGGGCCTGGTGGCACTGTAAGTTAAGCGCTGGCTGCTAACTGAAATGCCAGCAGTCTGAACCACCAGGCGCCCCGTGGGAGACCAGGCAGTGAGCTCCCGTGAAGACTGGACTCGGACGCCCTGAGGGCAGTTCTGCTCGGCCCACAGGGTCCTTATGAGCAGGAACTGACTCGACGGCAATGGGTTTGGTTCTGGTTCTGCGCTTCCAGCCACATCTGCCCGTGGTGACTTCACGCGGTCGGTTCACCCAGGAGCAGGGGTCTATACCGACTAGAGAGAATGAAGTATTTTCTGAAGTGCAGTTTCAGCAGGGAATTCTTACAGGGGACGTCTACACAGAGCATGCAGACCACAGAGGGCTAACAGGGCCCGTGCCCACCACGCACCATGCTTGCTCGGGTTCTGATCCAGAGGAGAAACAGCACTGGGTAAGTTATCCACGGAGTTGGGGTGAGTCCACTGAGGCAGGCGAGACTGGGACTGAGACGGGTCCTTCACCGACAAGCCACCCGTGATGTCCATGCTGTTTACATTCATGTTGGGGTTCAGTCCGGCTGGAACGAGAGATGCTGTGAGGTATGCTGCCGTGAGGTGTGACGTCATTAGTTACGACGCTGTCCACTATGCCCACCTGCACGCTAACTTACAGCCCCCAAAGCTCTCCCCGAGCCTGGCTTACACCCTCAACTGGGGTGCAATACTTTCACTGCTGGAGAAAAAGAAATATTATTAATATACTTCTAGGACTATTATTACCAAATTGAGGTAAAAAAGCTAATAATTAATATTCTGAGGATTAAACAAAACCAACAAGCCTACTTACTCACTTTTACTTGAAAAACAGAACAAATGCAAATAATCAAGGAAATCCTTTCTGCTTTTGGGACATCTTGGAACCCACAAGATCAACAACATTTTTCAGAAATCTCAATTGTACTCTCAGCTACCAGCTACAGGAAGAATGGTGATTTAATTCTGTCTTTGGTGAGCTATGTCACAGAAATTGCTCTGGAGTAGCTTCTCTCTTACACCCAGGGAGCCGACCCAAGCTATGGTGCTGGAGAAGAGCTCTGAACATCCCATGGACGGCCACGAGAACGAACAGGTATGTGTTGGAGATGGTGCAGCCTGAGTGCTCTTTGGAGGCAAGAATGATGAGGCTTCACCTCACATCCTTTGGACATGTTGCTAGGAGGGGCTATTCCTTAGAGAAGGACATGATGCTGGGAAGGGTAGAAGGGCAGTGAGGGAGAGGAGGACCCTCAACCAGGTGGACTGACATTGCGACTGCTGCAATGGGCTCTCGTGTATCAGCATGGCACAGGACAGACAGCGTTCAGATCTTTTGTTCATGGGGTCACTATGAGTCGTTCTTGACTTGACGGAACCTAACAACAACCACCACCACCATGGCCACAACCAAAGCTGGAACTTGGATAAGGCAGAAACCTGCAAAAGAAGCAAAGCCTAATTATTGCCTACAAGTCAGAGACCGCTCCAAATTATTGAAGAGCAATGATGTCAGTTTGAAGACTAAGGTGCCTCTAATTCAGGTCATGGTCTTTTCAGTCACTTGCTATGGATCTGAGAGCGGGACAATGACACAGAGTAGCGGAAGAACTGATGCTGTTGAGATGTCTTAGAGAAGAGTACTGAATATCGCAAAGGCCACCGAAAGAACAAACAGATGTGTCTTGAAGGAGCAGCCACAGTGCTCCTTGGAGGCAAAGATGACAAAGCTTTGGCTCACAGACTCTGGGCATGCTGCTGGGAGAGGCTCTTTCTTGGAGCGGGAAATCCTGTTTGGAATGTGGTGATGTGGGGAAGGAGAGGGAGACCCTCAACCAGGTGGACTGCAGAAACAGGCTTGAGTGTGTCAGAGACGGGGAGGGGGGCACAGGGCAGGAGAGGGATCACAGGGTTGCTAGGAGTTGTACTTGACTCAACAGCACCCAACAACAACAACAACAACAGAACAAGGAGCTCTAGCAGCCAGAATCTGCTGCAATCCCAAAGGCACTCAGCTTAAACCTACGCTGCAGTGTGGGAGGAGGACAGGCAATCTCCCGTGCAATTTACTATCTCTGAAAAGCTGCTGGAGGGTCAGCTACAGTCGGTTCTGACTCGATGGCACACAACACAGAACGACAGAGAGGCTCTGGTGGCCTAACAGCCAGGAGTTGTGCTGGCAACCCAAAGGTACATAGTTTGAATCCACGAGGTGCCCCACTCCACCAGGTGCTCCTTGGGCGGGACAAAGCTGGGCAGTCTCCTTCCCTGCGATGAGCTGCCTCTGAAAACCTGCTGGAGGGTCAGCTCTGGGTCAGTTCTGACTCCACGGTACACAACAACAGCAACAACAGAATGACAGAGAAGTGGTCCGACTGCACCCTGTCAGAGGTGGAGAACTCTCAAGGGGCACCTGTGAAGTCCACTCTCTCAGACCCCGCTCTGTCAGGCGACCTGAAGGCACTTGGTTCCCTGTGGTGGACGAGGCTGTCCGCTGGCAGCCAGAGCGCTGAGCTACACGCAGTGCTGGGTGTCCACCATGAGGATGCCAGCAGGATGTGGACACGGGATGTGAGGTGGACAGATGCTCGGTGGGAGGGGAACCATGCACAGACCTCAGTGTCTCCCAGGGCTGCTGCTGGGGCCCCGGCGCTCACTGCATCTGCTTTCTAACGTCCACCACTGAGGTCCCACCCACCACCCCAACTCTAACGTGTGCCCCTGGGTGGGTGCTGGGGCCCTGGTACTCACTGTATCTGCTTTCTAACATATACTCCTGGGGTCCCACCCACCACCCCGACTCTAATGTGCGCCCCTGGGTGCTGGGGCCCTGGTTCTCACTGCATCCCCTTTCTAACGTGCACCCCTGAGGTCCCACCCACCACCCCGACTCTACTGTGTGCCCCTGGGTGCTGGGGCCCTGGTTCTCACTGCATCCCCTTTCTAACGTGCACCCCTGAGGTCCCACCCACCACCCCGACTCTACTGTGTGCCCCTGGGTGCTGGGGCCCCAGCGCTCACCGAGAGGGTAAGGAGCGAAGGTGTTGGGCGAAGACTGCTGCTCTTTGGTCTGCAGGTCGGGGAGGCCGGCCGTCTGAGGGTGCGGGGGGAAGCTGTCCATGGCCGACTTGCCTGCAGAGGGGTGCAGAGACAGGTGCGGCGGGGGTGCTGGGGGCGGCGGCTGCTTGACGAGCAGGGCCTGGGCCAGCTGGCGCTGGTGCTGCTGGATCTGCTGCTGCAGGTTTGTGATTGTACGCGCAACCTGTGGGTGGACACGTGTCGGTGAGCGGGGTGGCGCCCACCGTACCCCACTCCTAGGACCTCAGTTAGGGACACGGGTCAGCCAGGCCAAGGTACCACTGGTCCCCACCTCTCCTGCCCCCAGGACTTTGGCCAGGGATGCGGGTCAGCCAGACCGGGGTCAACACTGACCCCCACCTCCAGGCCCGCGCCAGGGGACACTCACTTGCTGCTCCTGCTGCCTCATGGGTCCGGAAACATTACGCTGGGCCTGTAGCATCTGCTGCTGGATTTGTAAACGTTGGTATGCCTGTGCACGAGGAAGAGGGCCAGAGTCACACCCAGAGTGTGCATTTTATAGCAAAAGCAGTGAAATGCTCAAAATCACAGCTTTGCTCCCCTCCAAAGCATTTAGGAACTGGCAGGGCCGTGTGCCCTCTCTGCTGGAAGGGGGACCGTCAGGGACGCTGCCTTTGTCAGGGAGCCCAGGCCACGCGGCCACTCACCAGCTGCAGCTGATAGAGCTGGTTCAACATCGTCATATGCTGAGGATTAACTGGCGAGGTTAATAGTGCAGGGTTGAGACCAATGTTTTTTGCTGCAAACTGCAAAAGCTGTGCTTGAACCTGTCCAACACAAAACACACTATTAGGCCCCGAGCTTCTCTCCGGAAACACCGACCTGTCCGTGAGGTCTGTGAACTCATGAGCAACCACTCAGATGACACTTCAAAGCCCTCAGCAACACAGGCCTGTGTTAGCATGAGCAGCACGGTGTCTGTGGAGAACCAGGGACTGAGACTGCCCACAGAGAGTGGTGTGAACCAGACATAGTGCTGGCCGGCATCAAAGGCTAGAGAGTGAGCTGAGACCTGGGGAGAAAGCCATACTTGGCAAGCGTCACCAGAGGGGCAGTGGGGCCAGGCTGCCGTGCTACCTCCCACATGGCTCAAGCTCAGGCCGGCATGTGGCTCAGGCCCAGGCTGGTCACCCTTCCGCCGCCTCCTCAGCCACCACTCTGCTGACCCTTGAGGCCTCGCATCCACAGCCCTGATGCTGCTCTGCCCTCGGCAAGCATCTGCCTTCCCGGGCATGAAGCGTGCCTCTCAGCTTCCTCGGCCCCCGTCAACCCGTCTGCACAGATGCTCCACACCTGGCTGCTGGCCTCTCCCACTCAAGTCTCACTAGAAACCAAGTTCTGACCAAGTTTTCAAGGCAGGACACCCAGGGGGACAGGCAGGTGGCTCTAGATGGGGAATGACAGAGCATCAGAGGGTAAAGTTGTTAAATAGGTATTGGGAAAATGCTGACATGTCAAGTCTCACAAAATGAGCTTATGTCAAAGGAGAGTCAATGTCAAGAAAAATGGGCCGTAACGAGGTCGGAACAGGACACGACGGAGTCTGGCCTGCCCACAGCCTGCTCTGGCCAAGCGGGTCCTGGTCTGGTGGTGGTGTGTGATGACGTGAGGGGGGTGGGCTCGTCCTGGGCTGAGATGGCCCCACAGGTCCCCCCGGAAGCCCTGTCTGCACCACAGTCTCACTCAGCCCCAGCCTGTGTCAGGATGTGCACTTCACACCCTGGCCAGTGTTTTCCTGTCACTGTCCCTCCCACTTCTCCACCCTCCTCCAGGGGGTTCATCTGAACAGCTTTCTCAAAAAGGCCCAGGGCAAAGTCCGGTCTCCAGAGCTGTGCCTCAGGCCCACCGTTCCTGTCCCCCATGGACGGGGGCTCCCCATGCTCCCACAAGCACCAGTGCCCACCCCCACCCACGGCTGACCTGAGGGGATAGAAACTGAGGCACTTGAGCTCGGAGACTGGGCTGGGAGGAGCTGAGCGGCGGCGCTGGCGCTGGCTGTGGCATGCTCCTGGCTTGTGCTGCTCCGCTGTTGCCAAACATACCCAGACTGCCACTCGGGATCTACAGGAGCGCAAGAGGGCACCGTCACCCGCGAGGGGCCGCGCCAGGCTCTGGGGGCGGCTAACGGCTCCCTCTGCAGGAATGTGCACGCGCTCCTGCCCCCACTGGGGCCACCCGGACCACGCATGGCTCCTGTCATGAGCGCGGCTCCCTAGGGTTCCACGATGGGGCCAGCCCTCCGCTGTCCCTAAGGCTGCTACATACAGAGCAGCACCTCCAGCCCTGAGGTCCCCAGGGTTACAGCCATCCACTCACTTAACGAGCATGCAAACCTACAGCGCCAGCTACGAACCAGGGCCCATGAGGCGGAGTAAGTTAGAGCTGAGCTTCCAGCAAAGGTTTAGAATAACTTGGTGACATTAGAACTAAGTATCACCATTATTACTGTTTCATTACAGCAAACAGGCCTCAAGGTATCTGTTCTTACAGAAAGCTACTCTTTCTATCACAGATGAGAGTGACACTATACCCTCCTCGTACCTAAATGTCCTGACTCCTGGACAAAACTGACAGGCTCACGGACAGACCTGCTCATCGCCCGCCTCTAACGGCGACTTCGACAACTTACATTTCCTAAAAGTATTTATGGGGAGCGTTCAGTTCTAACTGAGAGAGCATATAATTCTCTACTAGGAAACACCCCTTATTCTACAATCTCTGACATGGGACTGTCCCTGGTGAACTGTGTGCTTTCCACATGTTAGCGGTGACCCCTCCTTTACTGTGAGGACGACATCACAGGAGTGACACTGCCCAAGAAGTGTGGTTCCGAAGGTGTGAGCTGTGACCTCGGCCACATGGCCAGCCCTGACAGGCCTGAGGCTCTGACTGCCTGGCTGCTGAGGGTGGAAGTGAGGGGCCAGCAGTGTCTCTGGGGGATAAAAGAGCAGGGACCTGCTCCCACACAGAGGACAGCCTGGGAGGGCCTGCAGAGCTGCCCTCCTCTGTCACAGGCGTCCTCAGGGGTTGGAAACGACACGCTGGCATATAAGCATCACCAAAGGGTGGGAAATGCAAGCCCACTGAGGTCGTACAGACTGACAGACAGAACACTGGAGGGGGAAGGGCCAGGCTGCTGCCAACCAGCAGGGGTGTGACTGCTCTGCACCCAGGGCATCTCCTGAAGGGTTGAGTGTGCAGGACTTGGGGTGTCCCTCAGATGGTGATTGGAAAGGGAGCCCCACAGGTGGGAAAGACAGCACCTGGGTGCACCACACTGCACATCTGAAAACTGTCAGCACAAGTAAACAGAGCAGAGAACAGCGCACGGCTGGGACCTTTGTGACTCTGAACATAGCCACCGTCACCTTGGCTGAAGTGTTACAGTCTTAGAGGGAGAGGGGGCCTCTGAGTGAGACCCTGAGTGGCTGAGTGGAGTCACCACTCCCGGGTCTTCGAAGGAGGGTGACCAGCACCTTGACAGTTTAGGGGCTGGCTCGCTGGATCTCAGGGACAGAGCTGCATGCACCACATCCTCGTGTAAACTCTATGTGCCAGTGCCTGGCATGGAGAATTCACAGACTTTGTGGGCAAGTCTTTGAGGCACTTCCTAGAACACGGGTGCATTTCAAGACTGTGATCAACTTGGATTTCAGTCCATCACTCAGAGAAATCTTGGCAGAATCCCCACCGCCTTTCCATACTATAGTTTCGCGCAAATGATGCACACAGTGTCGGGGTCCCCTTAACAAGCTGGGCCACCCTCTTGTGCATCTGTGTCCTGCGTGTGCCAGGGACACTACTTTTAGGCGTGCGTACTGCATGGAAAGTCCAGTACCGGTGTGTGTGAACACCAGGCACCGACTGAAAGGAGGAGTTTCTTTCTCAAGCACCCTGTCTACAGGCGGCGACAGGACCAGAGGTGCCTCTCCCGACAGCCTTACCTGTCTAGAAGAATTCAAGTTTTGCATGCCCAGCCCTGAGGCGATCCCACCCAGGGTCTGACCGGGGAGTGCGCTGTTTGAAAGGGGAAGCTTCAGGCTTGGTGAAGGCAGAAATGGTGAAGGAGTGGGCTCTTCCACAAGGCCGCCGTCCTGATTGGAGAGAGAGAGGGTGAGCTGTGCGCAGGCCCACCAGCACAGCACGTGACCGTTCCCAGGGAGAGACAGAGAGCGGATGGGGGAAGAGGTTCAAAGATCAGAAAGGTGTGGGTGAAAGGGAGTGGAGAAGACAGACAAAAGGAAGAAGGGAGAGAAAAACAGACATGGATTAAGATGCTGATTTTGCTTTTTCATATACTTTACTAGCACACGCATGAACCTGTAACGCTCTCGGTTGCTAAGGGGCTGCTGTGGTGTGCTCTGTGTGGGGTGCTAGCGGTGAGGTCACTGCAGAGACGAGGCTGTGTACTCCTGTTAAGCCTGAGTGGGTCCTTTGTCAGACTGGGGAAGCCCAGTGGAGGGTCCCCCAAGTCTGAATGGACTGGCCAGCAGTGGGAGGGAAGGTGTGGTGGTTCCTCAGGTCTCTGAGCGGGCGTGCACTCGCCGGCAGTGGGGTCAGGGCCAGGCACACCACAGCAGGCGGGCTGGTCCTTCATGGGTCACCCAGAAAGGGCTGAGCTGGGGCCTGGATGTTTTCCCAGGGGGCTGCTGCTGATCCCACCCAGGGCCATCCGAACTCAGGGCCAAGGCCACGGCCACTTCTAGTCCTTTCTGAACACATACCACATCGCCTCCAGTTAGGGAGAAAGCCCCAAACCCCACTGTCATGGGGCCACGAAACCCCTGGTTTTCCAAGGCTGGAGCTCTAAAGGGGCCACCGCACAGCAGCTGCTGGGTTTGAACTGCAGACCTTGTCTTTAGCAGCTCAATGTCTAACATACTACACCACCAGCTCCAGTCAGGACAGAGGCTCTGCCTGCCGGTGGGTCAAAGCAGACAGTCGGGCAGCGGCGTGTGATCCAAGCGGAACAACACACAGATCAGACCCTCACCAACTCTCGGCCTGGCCTTTCCCACCCTCAGTAACAGCCTCTGAAACGTGATCGTGGCGCCTCTCAGCTACTCACTCTCTCACTCAAATGGGCAAAGTCACCTAAACATCAAAGCTCATCAACATTTGACCGGAGCTGCATTAGGAATACAATCGATAATTCAAATCCTACCTTGTCGAGAAAGGTGGGGCGGTCCACGGAAGACTCTTTGGAGGTTGGTGGGCGGCAGCCAAGGGGTTTGGTGACCATTCCATTGTAGTCGGTCACTCCCAGTCCACGCTTGTCCATGTCCACCTTCTTTTCCAGCAGAGCACCTGGAGCACAGACAACAGAAGCGACATGTACATGACACAGAACGCTGCTGAGTGCTACAGGCTCAGAACCACAGCTCAGATCCAGTAAGGACACAGGGACCCCGTTACCCTGACCACTGTCACAAGGGAGGGCTCAGAACCACAGCTCAGATCCAGCAAGGACGCAGGGGCCCCGGCCACCCCACTTCGTCACGCGCATCCGCTCTGCACCGGCCTTCGCTGGCTAGGACCTGCCCCGCTCTTGGCCCTTCGGCCCTCTGCCTGTGCCCACTCTGCCAAGTGCACTCCAGCGTCATCCCAGGTTCTCTAAGAGTGCACTGTGTCCCTCCACATCGACAGAGACGCGCATCCATTTGGGGATGTGAAAAGGCTGATGTGCTTCCAGCGTGGCCCGGCACGTTAGTTAGTCCCTAGAGCCAGAGCTGCCTCAGGGCCTTGTCACCCCTGTCATGCTACTGTCCCCTCCTGCCCTGGCCCTGTCCACTCAGCCCTGCCCATACTTGAACCCAGACCCAAACAGCCCAGGAGGCAGGCCTATGGCGTGACTCACTCATGGCCTGGTCGAGGTTCATATTGCTGCTCTTCAAGGCCTCTTCAGCTGGTTCTCTCTGCGGGAGACAGTTTTCATCAGCGCTGTGCTGCATAGGACATGCCTGTCTTAGAAGGTGATCAGCGGAACAAGCAGCCCATGGGATCAAGAGGCTGCATGTGCCCAGGGAAAGTGCAGAAGGCAGGAGGGATCGAGGGTGAACAGCACATTAGACGCAGGAGAAGCCCCTGGAGGGGGTGCAGGACCGCTGCTCAATGAGGGACTGAGTCAGTATGAGAGAGGTGAAACCTAACGTTCGGGGAAACCTCCACTCAAAACACAACGAAAGATAATAGAGGGGGAAAAAACAAGGAAGAAGGAACCGCTTGACCTGCTCCACCGCGGCCGGCCTACCCAGCGGAGAGGAGCCCAGGTCTACACACGTCCCCACCGCTGCCAGCAGCCAGAGAGGCTGTTTAAGTTAAACACTGGTCACGAGGCAACGTGTTGGACTGATGTCGAGTACAGAACCTGTCCCCACACTTTAAGAACATGGGTGGAGAGCCAGGGAGGCTGTCCTTGCCCTGGGCACCCCAGCCGGCCACTGCCCACGCTTCACAGACACGGTGCGCTGACTGAAGGTCCTTGCTGCCCTGCCTCAAGCAACGTGATGGTGCCACCTCCCCGTAGCCTGTGCTCACCGAGAGCTCTGCCACGTGTCTCACATATTTCTACACAGACCACAGAACTGTGTGAACACAACTTTCACATCTATGGGGACACAGAAAAATGCAGGTACCTCACTTTACTGCATATTGTAGCGGTTAGAATCGAACCCACAACCTCGCTAAGGCATGCTGAGATATGCTTGTACTTCCTTCCAATGAACCTAAACACAACACCAATATTGGGCCCATTCAGAGAACGTCCCCTGAGTCTGCAGCAAACTGATGAGTAGGGCTCAGCCCCAGGTCGCAATGCCAAGTCCATGTGAGCAGGGCCGACTGAGGGGAGTCCTGGCTCTTGGTGTCAGGCCCACGGTGACCCTGTTAGCCTCTGCTGGCAGCCTGCCCTGTCCCGCCAGGCTTCAGGGCCTCTGCCAGGCTCAAGCCCATTGCGGCAGTCCCTGCGCCAGTCCCCTCCGTGACGGTCTTCCTTACTCTTGTTGATCCCCCATTTTCCAAGCAAGTGGAAGCCTAGCCCAAACATACGGTGATCAACACCTCAGCACGCTAACTGTCAGTACAGGTCCAGTCCAGGGTCCGAAGCGGGACCCCCTCAGTGTGGTCTGAATCCTCGGCCGGCACTCAGCCCTCCTCTCACTCCACACAGGGGACTGGGAGACAGGAAAGCCCTGGGCCAGGTCAGCATGCAGCCAAGGTGGGGGTAGCACCCACCCCGCAGCCCACTGCCTCACTCTCATGTGGTGGACCCAGCTCTTGAAAGAGAAGAGACGACGGGAAGCTAGGGCAAATACGGGGGCTCCCACTGCCTGCACTCTTTCCCTCCCGTCAATGGGGCCTGGACAGAAGGGCTTCCCTCGGAGAGATCACCCTATCCACAGACCACTCAGGGGCTAGCAGGCCAGGGGTGCTGTGTCTGTCTGGGCAAGACACTTCAGCACTGTGTCCAGCTCTGTCCTGCGACCGCTGTCGCTCTACTGCATGAGCTAATGAGAATTGGTTTTCAACTTTTAACTTCAAAGAACACATAAAGTAAAATTACAAATGTGTTCACCAAAGAAGACACTCAGATGGCAAACAAACACATGAAGAAATGTTCAAAATCCCTAGCTCTAAGAGAGATGTAAATCAAAACAACTATGAGATATCATCTCACCCCAGTCAGAATAGCAAAATTTCACAGAACAGCAAACAACAAAGGCTGGTGGGGTTGTGGAGAAAACTGGAACCCTTATTCACTGTTGGTGGGAGTGTAAAATGGTGCAACCACTGTGGAAGGTGGAAGGTGGCACTTTCTCAAAAAATTGCAAATAGATATACCATTTGACTCAGCAATTCCACTACTGGGAATATACCCCAAAGAGACCATAAGACATCCAAGCAGATATACGCACACCCATGTTAATCGCAGCTTGTTCACAATAGCAAGGAGTTGGAAACAACCTAAGTGCCCATCAGCAAGCAAACAGAGAAGTTGTGGTATAGTCACACAACGGAATGCTACGCTGCATTGAAAAACAAGAAACTCATGAAATATTATTCAGAATGGGTGACCCTGAAGGACATTATGCTGAAATATCTCAGTCACAAAGAGGACAAATACTGCATAGTGCCACTGTTGTAAAATGGGACTGGCATCGGGGTTTGAGGGGAGACTGAGAAAGATGGGATAAATAATGTATACTGCTTTGAAACAGATGAGGGAGAGAACTGTTTAAAAGGGATATGTGATTAGGTATCATTGTCATGACAGGAGTCCAGAGAGAAGGCTGCATAGTGGAGTGGACTTGGGGGGAGGGCTTGTATAACAGTGAAAAAATTTTTCTTTTACTTTTCAAAGAGAAGAGCGAACTAGGGGGTAGGGGTGAGCAGGGAGAAAAGTGCAACAATGAATGAATGGAAATCCAAAGTCTCTGTAAACTTTCATTAAAATTAATTAATTAAAAAAAATTACAAGGGAGCTCTGGTGGCCTAGTGGCAAGAAGCTGCACTGCAATCCTGGAGGTGCGCGGTTCAAATCCATCAGATGCTCTGCTGGAGAAGGAGGGGCAATCTCCTCCTGTGCCAGTCAGATCCAATTCGATGGTACACGCACAAAAATAATAAAATTACAAACGAGGTGGTATGTTATCTTCTAGGCAAAGAAGGTCTTAACACCTTGGGTGATGGAAGTCACGTGGGCCTTTTCTGGGGTCCAAAGTGATGACCCCTGATCAAATGACCCGAGTGAAGGGGCTGACCAGAGATGTGGGAGGCGGATCACGCCAGCGATCCCACCCTCCAGTCCTCCGCCTTCCTCGTCACACACAAGCAGGACATGGGAGCAGGGCGGGGAGAGGAAAGGCCGGTTACCGGGAAGCCCATGTCGGTGAGTTGTTTGATGAGCCGCGTCAGGATCCAGGTTTCGTCCTGCTTGCCGGAAGTCTTCATGCCCTGGAAGGGAGGGTCTGTTAGTCACAACCCGGCACAGTTCCTCCTGTGCTCACGGTGCTTTAAGTCACACAGTCAACACTGCATAGCTCCCAGGTACAGAGAGCGCCCGACAGGACTCTGTAGCCAATACAATGGTATCAAGGGCTATCAACGCTGCAGCTCACCAACGAGCAGGCGTCCATCACTGTGGGCTCAGCACCACGGTGCGTCCACCTCGATGCGCGCACTGCTGACACAGATGCCTTTACAATCTTTAAAGAAGCAGGCCAATGATTTCTCTTCCCCAGTGAATTACTTTGGCTCGCCACAAATACGTACTATTTCTATTATCAAATAATCACGCATGCAGTCATCAACACGGTCCTATGTTACCACTATGTGATGTCTATGAAAAATTACATGGTGTTTGCCTTTTTGAAAACTTTGCTGAAAAGATGGCAAAATGTAAGGTTCTCATTAGGACTAAAAGCAAAAGCAGCCAGAGGACAGAAAGCTCGTGAGGGTATTAACCAGACACAGCCCACATGCCTCAGGTGGAGGGACACGGTTCGCTGGTCGCTGAGAGTCCGGCTGTGCTCGCCCTACTCTGCTGCTTCCAGGGGTGTTCCCTGGAGCTGCACCCACCTTTTGAAGTCCTTTTTTGGGGGCGTTGCCCCAGGAGCTGCAGGAGGAGGCGCTGTCTTGGGAAGCAGCGTTACTCCACATGTCTCCTTCTTCATCTTCCCACTGAGCGGTGCCGAGGTTCATCTCGTCCCCACCGCTGCCCCAGCCTTCTTGCATAGATTTGGAAGCTGGAAAGAGAGCAGCGGGAGCTCAGCACCATTTCTGCAGAGGACGATGCTTCACTGCAACTTAGGAAGAGGCAGGAGAAGAGGGTGTGCTGTAACCAACCATTTCACTTCCCCACACCCTGAAGTCGGATCTCTCCTGTCAGACACACAGAATATACGAATGGGGGTGCAGCTGTCCTTCAAATTCCGGCTATTTGTACTGTGTGGTGGTCTAACTCCCCCAAAAGACTGGAACTCATTTGGAAACAAAGACATCCTTGAAGTGAATCTTGGGGCTGCAGAAGGTTTACTAAAGGTTTTAAACAGGGAGCCCTGTGCTCCCCTGGGACTTCCACCTTCAGCTGACTCCAGCCTGGAGCAGCATGACACAGACTGGTGCCTCCGAGGTCACTGCACCTGAGAATCACCAGGACCAGGTCTGAGGCTGGTCTGACACCTGTGCTCCGAGGGTAAATGGAAAGCAACACCCAGCACCCCAGAGTGGAGTGTGGTTCACAGACCCAGGGGCTCCCCGGGCCTGACAAGGAAGGAGTAATCAGGGCTGCCCAGCAGGATGGTGGGCACAGGGAACACAGTGCCAGTGTTAGCCGAATAACAAGACACAAACGCCAGCCATCTTCCAGCCTTGTTCACGTCTTCCATTTCAATGTGCACAAACTCACCTGTGGCACGGCCTCCCCCTCAATGTGCCTGTATCCTCACTGCATTTTCAGGCAAAAGGAGGAAATGCAGCATGATGTTACCAGCTGTGTATGCATAAACCTGGGGGCCTCAGAGAACTGTGCTGACCACAGGGCCCCCTGACCCCCCACCTCTGGAGACCAATCTCAGGAAGACGTAAGTGCTGTGAGCAGCATCTCGGGCATCGAGTAAGCTGTGTGAACGGCCCGAGATGCAGACCTGGGCTGCCACAACGTCCATGCACAGACATCCACGTGTGATGGGTCAGTTACTTCAGGGCTGCACTGACTTCAAGTGGCAGGGGCTGTGGTCTGGTTCAAAGTGGCTCCTTTGAGCTCACGTATCAGATATGGTAAATACTTGTCTTAACTGCCTTACTTAGAGGCAGTTTCAAAGTGAACACAGAAAGTGGTGTGTCCTGATACAGAACTTCAGAATCGAATGCAAACTCGCTTGACATGAGGACACTCTGAAACAGTGTCATATGAGACCACCCCTGATCTGAGCCCCATTTCCATGAAGACATCCTGAAACCATGCTACACGGCATCACCCCAAACCACATGCCCACGAGCACAGCTCAGCCCAGGCCCCCTCGCCCAGTGGAGCCAGCGGGCCCTGCACTCACCTGGTTTGCACAGGGCTGGGGCAGTAGCAGGGGCGCCAGCCCTTCCAAAGGTCACTGGCGGCTCAGCAGGGTGGTCACCCCATCCACTGCCACTGCTGGGGGGCTTCCCCCACGCTGCTGTGCCATTGTCCACCAGGGTGGAGGGGGAGGACGGCTCTCCCCAGGAGTTCTCGGCCTTGGGATGAAGGTTAGGCATCTCTCCCCAGCCTGACGAAACTGGAGAGAGAGGACACACGTGAGGTGGAGGAAATGAAAATGGCCACTGTCACCTCAATCAAAACAGGCCTTGCGGAAGCTATCCACGGCTTCTGTTGGGTACTGTCAAGGTGATTCCAAGTGACCATGATGCCGTGAGACAGCGGAGTTCCTCTGGAGGGTGGGGGGTGGACTCTCCACAGGGGAGACCACCACACCGTCTGAGGAGCCAAGGGGGGCACTGTGCTTAACCACTGGCCTGCCCAGGATGCTCAATCTGCCCGAGGAAGCTTTGCTGACGGCAGGCAAGTGGACTAAGCTTGATGAGGGCCCTTCAGCTAAGGTGGTTTTCTTGAGCTTGACATGCCTTTACTGAAAAGTGACAATCCACTGAACACTAGTCCTCTGCCAGCACTCACAATTTAAAACGAGAGCTTCTGAAGTTACCAGCCTCCTGTGTGAAGTCCTGTCCCCTCCCCTGTACCGGGCCAAAGGCAGACGGTTTGAGGGGACGGACAGCACAAGGCTGGCAGCATTTCCCCGCACTGCTGAGACAGAACTGACAGACAGCACTGAACTATATTCTAGAAGAAATAGTTCTAAGTGTTTGGCCATGTACATGCTTTGGATATGTATCTTTTTACCAACCATCACAGACATAGATCAATGCCCCAGGCTGAGACATGAGCAGCAGACTCTACTGGTCCAGATGAAGAGACCCCAGGCTCTTTTCTGGGTGTCCCCACAGCTGAGGAGTGGTGGCCTTGCTCTTAGAGGTGAAGACAGAGGTCAAGTGGCTCCTGAAGAACCCCTTTCCTCATCGCCGCCTGGCCCCCTGTCCAGGGAGCCCAAGACTTCACCCCAGCACACCGCTCTCCACAGCTCACACAGTGCGGCCTGAAGCCACTGACAGTTTGCCTGTCTCAGCTGTCACTCTCACACACATCGGTTTCCTCAGGGTGAACACATGACTATCTCAAAGAACAGGAAGCCAATGTCTCTGTCCAGAAGAGACAGGCTCGTGGCCCAAGTGTAAATACAACATCATTGCTGTTGACACTGACTCAAAGACGACCCTCCAGCGTGCTTTCCCAGGCTGAAAATGAACGAGCCTGGGAAGAGACCTGCCAGCTCCCTCCCGGGGAGCAGCTGGCGGGTGCGATCTGCTGCTTTTGGGCCAGCAGTGCAGCTCCTGACTCACCAGGCCACCTGAGTTCCCTAAAACGTAAATGTGCTGCTGTCATATTATTCAAAATGGGTGAACCTGGAGGACATTATGCTGAGTGAGGTATCTTAGTCACAAAGGGACAAATGCTATATGGTGCCACTGTTGTAGAATGAGGCTGGCACTGGGGTGGGGGTAAGACTGAGAAAAACTGGATGAAATAT